CCCCCGCCGATGGCGGCGCCGGCGGCGGTGGCGGTCTCGGCGAGGCGCTGGTCGCGTGCCTCCGCGAGGTCCCGTCGCTCTACTTCAAGGAGGACTTCCGGCTGGAGGACGGCGCCACGTTCCGCGCCGCGTGCCCGTTCGCCAACGTCGCCGAGAACCTCGCGCTGCAGGAGAAGCTGTCGCACTACCTCGATGTGGTGGAGCTCCACCTCGTGAAGGAGATCTCGCTCCGCTCCTCCTCGTTCTTCGAGGCGCAGGGCCAGCTGCAGGACCTTGATGATAAGATCCTTCAAGGTTGCACGCAAATTCGGCACCTCAAGGACACCATTCGCCTCCTCGACGCCGATTTGGTCCACGACGCGCGCCAGATTCAGGAGCTTAACGGCACCAGGACTAACCTCTTGGCGCTCCTGCAGAAACTCAGGCTTATATTATACGTCAACCAGGCCCTCTCTGCTCTCAAATTGGTACTATTGCTTTTTTCGAGTTTCTGTTTTTTTTTTGACAGAACTTAGATGCAGTTTGATTCCTACTTTTGGTTTTGTTATCTAATCAGAATTGGAGAGTTATAATTGGCATAATAAAAGTTTGTATTGAAGATCAACATAAATATCTGAAGTAAAGCTTCAAATCTAATTGTTGATCGGAGAATAAGTGTAATACCGAAACCACCTACAGAACTGTGTGTGTTTTTGTGAAGAATGGGGCGATGTGAGTGTCTAATCTTTGCTGAGTAGGATTGTGAAGAGCGAAACTGTGTTTGTATTTTAGTGTTGTTGTAGTTTGGTTAGGTTGTGGATTAATTAGGGGAATTTTATGGTGGTAGTTTTAATTACCAGTTGTCACGCATGCCTTGTCGATTCAGCGTTGGTCATTTATCTATTTCGTTTTTGGTGTTTCCTTTGTTACTTTAGTTGTGTTTGCGGACTGCTATTGTTGATGGACTTTAAGTTGATGTGTTTTGCTGTGATACAGCTTGTTGCGTCTGCAGATTGTGCTGGAGCGTTGGATGTGACTGATGATTTGCAACATTTGCTGGTATCACTTTAATCATTGTATTGTATCTCATGAATATGCTCGCATATAAATGATGGTCTTGGAATATATACTGTTTTAAATGGTTTTAAACTTAGGTGGATGAGACTAGAGATTAATGCTTAGCTGATATCAGTAGTTGTGTTGAACTTAGATAGTTCCCTTTGAAGTTTGTTTATGACATAGCATGATGGGATTTCTGAAAGATGAAGAGAAATTTATATATATATATATATTATATATATATATATATATATATATATATTTGTTTTATTCATTTTCTGTAACTTTGGCAGGATGGAGATGAACTCACTGGTCTACATTGCTTTCGGCATCTTAGAGATCATGTAATAGGCTTTATAGATTCCATAAACAGGTACACCTTGGCGTATGCTAGTGTTTACTTGTTTTAATTTATGATACATATTTGTTTAAGAGTTAATATCTATACACTGTCAATGTAAAGTTTTTTACACTGACAACTAATTATATTTTTTAAATTATTTTATTTTATTTTTATTTCATTAAATAAGCAACTGATATGACACTATTAAAAGATATAATTGGTTACTAGTATAAAAAAACTTTACACTGACAGTGTATAGGTGATTAACTCTTTGTTTAAAGTTATTTTACTTGTATCTGCAAATTCAATTTATGATGGTTTCTAGTTTCTTTATTTTAGAGAGATGAGTAATAATTGGATGAGAATAGGGTTGAGTTATGATGTTTTAAGTTTGGATAGCTCCTTTTGTTTTTTAAATCTTAGTTGCTGAAAAGGCTATCTGCCGCACTCTGCTATTGGCTTGAATGTGTTGAAAGTTAAGACAATACTTACATATTGAATCATAAGATTTAGAAACAAAATGAAAAATTGCTTGAAATACATATTAATGATGTGTGGTTGTATTCCATAAACAAAATCCTCAATGTAATAATTTTAAACCTGGAATTAATCGCAAAACAACATAACCATAAGTCTCATGGAACAGAGTTGTAAACATAAATTGAATATTACTAGCTAGTAGCAACTTATTTAAGTTAACAAGTTAATAAAAAAACCCATTTGTAACCTAGTCCAAATTCCAAAGTTTATTCCTTTGCCTTGTTTCCTTGCTCTATTCATCTTTGCATCCATGTCAGAGGGAAGATAGGAAGAAATAGATAAATAAAATGGCTTTTTTCTTACACACTTATAGAACAGTGCTTCTGGCAGATGTGCCTTCATTTTTTTCTCTACCCAAAATAAAAAAATCAGCTTCTGTTTGTGGCTCTGGGTAGCACTGGATCATCCTTGACCCAACTTCTTGACCCAAGCAAATAGGCTAAAGGCGGAAGATCATAAATTGGCTGACACTATTATTCTTGATTTCTATTCTGAATCTTGTAATTCTGCCAATTTGAGCAGTTACTTTGGCCACAGTGCGATTAGCTCTCCAATCTATCATCTGTGTAAAAAATTGTATGGAATGAATTGATGCAAATCATGATTTCAAATGTTATGCTTGTGAAATAATTCAATTCGTATTTTGAAATATTTTAAACTTTTGCTTATTTTAAACATGTTTTCTTTGTCCATTGTTAATCTGAACTTTGAAATCTTTATTTTTGGTTGTTATATTGCTAACTTTGGATTTTATATTTGTGAAAGAAAAGGATAGAGTTGTATTTTGTATTGGATGTTTAGTAATGTATTGTATTATTTTGATAGCATTCTCTCGGCTGAGTTTATTCGAGCTTCGTTACACGATGCTGCAGAAAAAGATAGTATAATTTTATCCAAAGCTAAAGCAAGAGCTTCCCTTCCAATGAACGGAAAGGATGATGAAGTAAGATAATATCTTCAATTGATTTTTTCTTTAATATTTTTTTCCTTAATTTTATATGACTCTTGTGTTGGAAATCTTTCAAATCTTCACCATTACATTTTAGTAGGGCTATTGTTTCCTATGGTGCATTCTTTGTGTTAACAGGGGGTCAAGATATAGCGAAATGAGTTGTTCTTTATTGTCCCTTCCCTTGGCCAATAGGATCTAGTTTTAACATTTTTTGATGGAGGTCGTGCATACATGTATATATTAAACTCACTAAAGAAAATTGTTCATTCATTTTTGTTGTTGCGTAGAGCTTGTAACCTTCATAAACACTTCTTGTTTAATGTATTATTGATGTCTTTTAAGTAGATACCACTTTTGTCTCCATATTTTTCTACAAAAGAGGTTTAATGTTACCTGGAAGAAGCGATGTACATTTGGGAAGAGGTTGAGAAAAGTCCAACTAAAAAGGGATACAAGAAAGGAGTAAAAGGTAATTTGTAATGGCTCAAAAGTGCAACAAAATTATAAAATTGTACAATCTCTTTGCATATCAATAATAGATATTCCCTTGAAACGATCATGAGCAGGGTATTCCACAATGTAACAGATGAGAAGTGCAAAAAAGACACCTTGGAAAATTAGAAAAATACTAACATTGGGAAAAAACCAAATCTCACATTGACTAGAGATAAGACCTTATTAGAGTAAGTAAGTGGGGAGTAATTCTTGCCTTACAAGTCGGTTTTGTAAGGTTAAGTTAGGTCTAAATTACATTCTAAGTTGGTATCAGAGCCATTCTAGATACATTAAAAAGGATCATCCACCATTTTTACGTTTACCAAGCCCAATAATGAGTGTAAGGGAGTGTATTGGGAAAAACCTAAGTCCCGACTATCCTAGATCATTTAAAAAGTGTCACCCATCGTTTATTCACACTAAGCCCAATAGTGTTGGGCGTGTGGGAGTGTATTAGGAAAAACTCAAACTTCACATCAACTAAAGATAATGCCTTATTAGAGTATATAAATGTGGAGCAATTCTTACCCTGTAAGTCTATTTTATAAGGTTGAGTTATGTCCAAAAAACCCACTTCCTTAAAATGTTAAGAAAGTGGATTATTGGCTTAATTCAACCTTTCAAAACTACTTGTAAATCTACATTCTAAAATGGTATGAGTCATTCTAAGTCCTGACTATCTTAGATCATTTAAAAAGAGCCACCCACTATCGATTCGTGCACCAAGCCTAATAGTGTTGGAGTGTATTGAGAAAAATCCAAGTCTTACATCATCTAGAGATAAAACTCTTAAGAAAATGGATTGCAGCTTAACTCAATCCTACAAAATTGGCTTATTAGGTGAGGATTGTTCTCCACATTTGTATACTATTATGGCTTCATCTCTAGCATAGTAGTCAATAGCAGCCATAGCGGTTGCTATCGCGGCACACCGGAACAGAGCATTTTTGGATCGCAGTTGGAGCGGTGCGACACGGTGGTGCGGATTTCACAGCCTGAAGTGGATTAGATTTTTTATTATTTAAAATACTTCATTAAGGGTATTTTCAACTTTTTTGAGTGCGAACAACACCTCTTCCTCCTTCTATGCAAAGACCGACGAACAAAACCTCTTCCAGGTGAACCCTAGCCCCAAAAACGCGACACCTTCATGCGTCTTCTTCTCGGACTCTCTTTGAGGGTTGTCTTCTTCCATTCTGGTGTTAGTCGTCAGGGTCGTTTGACGTTCTTGCATCTGCTGTTCGATGTTCTTGCGTCCGCTGTCCAATGTCCGTTGTGGGTATTCTTCTCGGACTCTCTTCTCTTCTTCTCTCTTCCCTCCTCCATGGTATTCTTTCTTTTCTTTTCTGTCTTCTCTCTGTTTTTTTTTTCTCCGCTTGATTTTTTCTTCTTGTTTCCTTCTTTTTTTGCTGTTCACTTTTTTTTTTTCCATTTCTTTCTCTTTTTTGAATTCCATTTTTTTTACTTGGGCATTAGTGATCAACAGAATTATGGCTCAAACAAACGATGCTAGAACTAGAACTGGTCCCAATCATAGTCCCACACCATCAATGGGTTCTTCAATTGGAATTATGGTGACAAAATTGATATATTTTGGAAGTGGAATAGCTTAAAAGACAAAAACAAAAGGAAGAGTGTGACATGTGATTTTTGCTTAAAAACTTCTACGGAAGGAATTACTAGAGCAAAAAAACATTAACTTGGAATAAGAGGAGATGTAGGTGCTTGTAGAAAAATACTAGAGGATCTTAAATTGGAATGTTTACTTTTTTAGTTACTTAGAGTTTGACATTTTGTTTTCTAGACATTTATGTTTTTTTAGCTTTTATATATATATATATATATATTATTAATTATTTAATAAAAATAAAAATAATATTTAAATAGCGGTCATCCCACTATCCACAATCCCGCTATCCCACTTTTGGGGTCAGCCACTTTGCTCCACTACTAGGATTGACTACTATGATCTTTAGTCGATGTGGGGTCTCTAACACACCCAATCACGCTGAGGACTGAATATCTAGAATTTGAAGTTTGCAGTACTATACATCTGTGGGTGATCTGATAATGACTTGATAGTGGGTAGTCTAATACACCCAACAACACTCGCTAGATTAGGCTCTGATACCATCATAAGAAAGTGGATTATAAGCCTAATTAACCTTACAAAATCAGTTTGTAAGGTGAATATTGATTCCCACTTATATACACTATTTTGGGTCTGTTATCATTAGTTGATGTGAGATCTCTAACAACTAACATTACTCTCTTGCCACGTACACGTCAAAAGTGCAAAAACAACACACTCAGCCTGCAATGATGTCGTAGCCTCTTCATGTTACTCTCTCTAAAGCATATGATAATCTCTTCTCTATGTCCTTAATGAATCTTAACTTTCTGTTAAAAAAATCTACGAGGTGAAAAAGGACACGATGCTGTGTTGATCAAGAATACAACTGGATTGTTTCATAAAAGAGCCACTTTACCCTGCAGAAACAAATGGGTCTCTGTTTCTGATTAAACCTGCACGTGATAGTTATTGGCCTCCTATTGTGAGGGTCTATGAAAGAAGAAATAGGAGAGTTATTGGGGAACAAAGACCCTGAATTGAACATATCTGATTTCAGCTTGTATGACTAACATTTGAGGAAGTCTGCTACTTTTTTATTTGGGTATGATTGTTAAATAGGATGGTGTAGAGAGGGTAAGGGAATCTCATTTTTGTGAAACTAAGCAGGAGATCTCAGGCTTCTCAAAACTCCAAAGTGGTTTCTCTATACAACATTCATTCCTATCCTAGTTCTGGTACCACTCTGAGTCTGGGGCTGAACTGCGATTAGGGTTCTTGGAGAGAATTCATTTTTTCCCTATTCTACTGGTTCCAGTGTTAATCAGCATGTAACACATGTCTGGTGAAAAGTTGTGCATGGTATATGAATTTGTAATAGTTTTTTTTAAGTCTTACGGAGGACACCTCTGTGCCAATGAAAGACCTGTGTTTAGGAGGGCAGTGTGAGAGTTTCAAATGGGTTTGTCAGAGATGAAATTGTTTTATCTTTTATGAGATTGTTTATTTAATTTAGAATCTTTGCTTCTTAGAAAAAGATTTTTAGTAGAACACACATGAACAATCCAAAATCTTAATTCATCTGTCTGTGTTGGAACATAGATGAGTAGTAGAATCAAGGGTAAATAAAGCTCTTGTTGATTCTTGATGCCTAATTTTTTACCCATTTAATTGCGTACTGTGTTGGCATTAGTCCAATGTTTGAGCAGCTGAGAGTCTCACAACGTAAAGTTATATGATATTTAGTTGAACTATTTTGTGTTTTTACCTTGAGTTGTGAAGTTTTGATGATGCAGTTTGTGATCTAACTTCTGTTTCATATTCAGGTAATGTTGGAAGAAGAAGAAACCAATATTTTCAAAGATAGTCTTCTTCCTACTGTAATTGGATTGCTTAGAACTGTAAGTGATTAGCTCTTTTTATCTTAAGAAACTTATTGTTTAAGCTATTTATTGTGAAAATTTTAGTTTATTTTGTATTGATAAAGAATCATTAGTAAGATCAGTGAAGTGAGCGTTTTCCTTTTGTAATTTTTGAGGATATGTTAACCCTTATCCCTTCATCTAGATTTATAAATACTTGGTATTTTGCAATTGATAGAAGAGAAAATGAAAAGAAAAAAAAAAAAAACTTTGTATGAGATCCCATGCTTATAGAAGGTTTCTGTTTCTGAGCTACAATAGACAAAGAAACAATGTCTTCAATGTTTCATATTAATGCATCCCATGTGATTCCAACCTCCAGAAACTACTTGTATTAATTTATTTTTTTTCTAAATACCATCACAAATTCTACAACAGCTACTCTCCTTTTGAATGTCTTGAACAGAACTTTGTATGAAATCTGAAACCACAGCATGATTGCAGTAGGTAAATTATGCCACTGATGTTTGTTTTTAACATTGATTGTTATAAATTTGGTTGTCTTTAATTTTATTGGTCTCTACATTGTAGTTGTCCTTTGTTTTTTGATTTGAGGATTATCCTGAAAGTTGAAATTTTTGAATTGGTTTCTTTAATGTGTCTCCTTCTATGAGGGATTTTGTTTTCCCAGAATTTAAACTTTTTTGGCGAGGAATTTCCTGGTTGTAACTTGTATATAGACTAGAGAGTTTTCAAATCCCCCATCTCTAACACAATTTGTAGGATCTCATGATTTGACAATATTTTTGGGGGAGATATTTTAGATTTTTTTAAAGATTTTTCCTATAAATTTTTAGGCTATCATCTATTTTACAAAATTGCACAAATTATTGGGGGATTAAGCTCATGAACCATACTATGAAGCTATGAGAGAGGATAATTGAACAGGGATTAAGTCAAGAGACTCATTGCTGAAAAGCAAGGGCAATTATGCATGTGAAGTCAACCAAGGAAGCAAATACTTGTTTGTTGTTACAACAATTGATGGAGTGATACGTAATGAATAAAAAAGACTTACATATGGTGTTTATTAATTTTAAAAAGGGGTACTATAGTGTGTCAACATATGTATTGCAGAAGTCTCCCAATAAGCAAGAGGTTTGTGTTGCCTATATTTGAGCAATCAAAGATATGCATGAGGGTCACAACAAGGGCATGAACACAGGGTGGAATCACAACAGATTTTCCTATAACTGTACGGCTACACTAAACAAGGGGTTAACTAAGAGCCCCTATCTTTTTACCTTTGTCTTGGATGTTCATATTTAGCATGTCCAAGAGCTAGTGCCACTGCCATGATGCATACATTTGCAGATGATATAGTCTTTTTGCATAACAAGTGTCAATAGAGTAAATAAATGGGTAGCTAGTGATGCGGAGACAGGCTTTGGGAGCACATGACATTTGTTTAAATATAAGTGAGATGAACCTAATCGATTATAAGTTTAGCGGGAGGAACACTAATCCTAGCTTTGAGGTAAAAATTGGAGACTATAACACCCACAAGTCACATGGATTTAGCATCTTGGGTCCATCATGCAAAATGATGGAGAAATTAAGAGATATAAACCATAAGATCTGATTACGTTGGATGAGATGAAGGTGTGCTTATGGCATACTGTCCAAGCTTAAGGGTGTTTTTGCCCCTATAGCTATAATATTTGCATTGTTAGGCTGTAAAAAGGAAATAAGAGAACAAATTTAATGTAGTGGAGATGAGAATGTTTCATTGGATGAGTGGACATGCTAGACAAGTAGACATGATATTATTGAGAATGAATGCACTAGAAAGTTGATCAACACCTATTATTGAAAAGATGGTGGGTTGTTAGGTGGTTTGGGCATGTGTAGAGAGGACTTGTAGAAGAGCCAATAAGAAGAGTTGACCTTATGGAGGGTAGCCCAATTGCTAGGGTAGGGGTAAAGGGAAACCTAAAAAAACTACTGGTGAAACCATGAAGAAGGATTTGGAGGTTAATAGTCTATTTATAGATATGGTTTGTTAGAGAATATTATTTCATAGTTTGATTCTTGTAGCTGACTCCATTTAGTGTGAAAAAACTTGGTTGTATAAATTTCATTAATAGAGAGGGAAAGAAACGTAGATGACAGTAGAAATAAAAGATAAATACAGTAGAAAAGGAGTGTTGTTTGGATGAATAGAAATAAGACGGAAAAAACAGTAGACATTTGGTATTTCTATCCTATATCCCTCCTATCTATTTACACCCAAACAAAGGGCAAGATACAGGATTCCCCCCCTCCCTCTTCTATTTACCCTCTGTTTCTTTGGGTCTCATAGCTACTAGTCTATAGTCTATACTCCTTTGTTTGATGTGTTTTACTTTTATCTCACTTGGTATTTCTTTGTGCTGGGGATTATGCATGCTAAGTGATTTAACATTTTTTAATGCCACAATATTATTGTTCTTTGGAGAAACATCACTATAAAACAATAATACTACCTTTTCAAAGTACTGCTTCCAAAATGTGACTATCCTTGACCTTTTTGCTCTGGGTCTGGGAACATAAAACTTTCTGACTTAGGTTATTTTGGCTTTGGTTAAATAATTCCCTTATTTTCAGGCTAAACTTCCCACTGTTCTGAGGACTTATCGAGATACGCTGACTGCTGATATGAAGAGTGCTATTAAGACTGCTGTTGCTGAGTTGCTTCCAGTTCTTGCTTCTCGAGGTTCTGAGTCAGAGTTCTTTTCTGGAGACAGGGCTGTCGATGCAGATGGTGAAAAATTCTTTAGCATATGATGTTTGTCTATTAGAAGATATACTTTTACATATTTTTCTTCTGTTGTGTTTTTATGTGATCTGTTCTACTTTCAACTTTCTAATGCTAAATAGTGACTCAGGTGGAGGTGCATCACTTGCTAGCAAGTTGAGGAGCCTATCATCTGATTGCTTTGTGCATCTTCTGAGCGCTATTTTCTTGATAGTACAGGTAATTTATACTTGGCAATTGTTAATTTGTTACATCATCTAGACTGCCAAGTGGTCCTCCCATAACTAGCATTAGAAGCATTATCCTGTATCCACCTCCATGGAAAGCAAATACATTGCTTGTGTTTGTTTTTCCATGAACACCATTCAACAGACTTTTCCCACTTTCCAAGACAAAAAATGTAAAAGCAAGGGTGATCTTGGATTGGCGTTTAGTTGGAAGCTACAAAAAACAAACACACATAAAAGTAGCGTGTCCATGTGGAAAAAATTTCCATTTATTAAAATGAGAAGCTTGGATTATTGTGTTGATATTCCAACCGTTTTGTTGTAAGCATCTTTAAACTTATAGTATCTAAAACCTTAATCATACTTAATGCTTTATATTTGTGGTGAATTTGTAATCTTAAGTTTATATTATTATGAAATGCATCGTCCATACATGAATTGAAATGCTCTCTGATATGGTTCTTGACTTGTCTTTTTCATGACAAATGGAACTAGTGGGGTTTGCTTAACTTCATAGTATTTTCCATCACATGTAGGATATTTGTTAAACCTACAAACATTTTAGTGTTGTTTTATAACATGATTTGCTTCTTGGAGTGATTGCCGTAATCACAGGGTTTACATTTTTTATTTTATCATTTTGAATATTTTAAATCATGTTGCTTATGTTATACCTCTTGTTACATTTATATTGTCTTATTGATGCATTGCAACTTAATCATTAATACCTATTGCCCCAAGAATAAGGCAACTTATTGTTGAGGTGTTACAAATTCAATAATTTATCTTCCAAGGGAGAGGGCTACAATTCATAAGCACAGATGTTTTTTATTAAGGGTTACATCCAGGTTACTGAAATTCAGTTGTACATTGTTTTGCAACTAAATTAGCTGTTTTAAGAGGGATGTAATAAGATTTTTTTCCTTTTAGTGATTGCAGGCACATTTAGTGCGGGCTGCTGAAGTGAAAAAGGCCATTGAATGGATTTTGAACAACCATGATGGCCATTATGCTGCTGATTCAGTTGTGGCAGCAATTGCTCATGGTGCTGTTGCTGCAGAAACATCCCAGGAAAGCGAGGCTCATGGTACTACATTTTTACCATATTCATCACAAAGAAGTGTTGCCAAGGGTTCTTCATTTCAGGGAAAAGCAATTGATGCTGTGAGCTCCTCAAACATGTCAAAAAATTTCAGGTTAAATCTAGGCTCTTGTTTCAAACATACTTGTAGTGGAAAGCTTTTTTCCAGATTCTTATTGGTGGCTAGTAATTTGTGATTAGAGCTAGTTTTTTTCTTTCAAATTTCCTTTTTTGGTCCTCATAAAATGATAACTATTATTCTGAAGTTCAGAATCACCTGAATTCAGTTTGGAAATATAAGTATCGAGACTTGAGAGTCTTGTGCTTCCTGGATTGTATTTGTAATTATTTTAACTATATTTGAATAAATGGACTTATATAGTGAAGATTTCTAGAATTGATATATAATGGTATTGTTATGACAAATTTTTCTTCCTTTTGTTTTTTTGCAATGAACTTTGTTTCCCCCCTTTAAGTTTGATTATTCATTGAATGGTGACATGTTATATGATGAAGCTTTGAGAGGATGAGAACGATTCCTTTCTAGAGTCCATTTTGTAGGAATGCTTTTTAATGAAACACTATTTATTTGTGAACACCTAATTATTCCAAAAGCCTAAGTTGTTAGGTGAATTGCACATAAATTTTATATCTCTTAACATTTTCAATCCTGTCATTTGAAAATATGCTTTCAAATATGAAATGGTGAAGAAAGAGAGGAAATATTGAAAAAAAAAATTATTTGTGCTGTAATATTAATATTAGCCTCCACTTTGTTTCCTCAAGCCTCCAAATGGTTAGTACTTGTGGCTCTTGCTCACGAGTGCGTCATTATATGAAGAATTTCTTTCTACAGAGACTAAAACTTTCTAGAATTTGTTAATTTTTAATTGTACATCTTAGGTTTTTTATGTAAGACTGCAGATGATATTTTTTTAGAATGTTTACTCCTGTTATTATCTTGTGAAAGTTGTGATACATGACACATAAGCTTCCCGATAACAGGATATTAATTTAATTTAATAATTAGGAGGGACGTTATAAATTTTTTGCTACATTAAATTTGAGTAATTTGTTTTTTGATGCATGATTAATAGCTCCTGATAACAATGTTAAATCAGTATGCATGCTTATGAGATCCTTCAGTTGTTATTATGTTGTCAGGATTCGAGTACTGAATTTCTTTTTGCTAATAACAAATGGCTCTTTTGGGGTTTTCTATCTTTAAAAAGAGGATGATGGGGACATCATTTAAATTCACTGACTACTTGTAAAGCTTCCCGATGAAAAAAATGATAATACATTTTTCTGCCATAACTTTTGTATTTTATTTGTTGTCCCATTTGTTTGATGTTCTCAAAGAATCTGGTTCTAAACAGAGCTGATATATTGCGAGAAAACGCAGAAGCTGTCTTTGCAGCATGCGATGCTGCTCATGGAAGATGGGCAAAACTTCTTGGTGTCCGTGCAATTCTCCATCCTAGGTTGAAATTGCAGGAGTTTCTAACCATATACAATATCACCCACGAGTTCATTACTGCAACAGAAAAAGTATATATTTTCATATTGGTTTGTAACTACGATTACAAATGATTTGGTTTTTGTTTCGATATTTAATTCCCATGCTTATATTAACAGATAGGTGGGAGATTGGGATACAGCATCCGTGGCACGCTGCAATCACAGGCCAAGGCTTTTATTGATTTTCAGCATGAATCACGGGTTAGTTTTGATCTTTGTCCTTTCTTGTATGGCTTTCATCACCATGAAATCTCCGTACATTTTTTGTTAATTGCTGCTGCTTTTCATGTAGATGTCAAAGATAAAGGCAGTGCTTGACCAGGAAACTTGGGTGGAGATAGATGTTCCTGATGAATTTCAATCCATCATTAATATGCTTTTTACATCTGAAGCATTGACTTCTGAGAACCTTAATGGCACTGAGGATGATATTTCAACTGGTTACAATGGTGTCGTGACTAACAATGATGTTATGCCAACGGCAGATAGTGCACAGTCAAATGCTGAACAGCAAATTACTCGGACAAATTCCATTGAAGCATCTATGAATAGTGAAGCATCCGATAGTTCCAAACCCCTGGTCGATTCAATAGAACCAAATAAAGCTCATGGTAGGATTTCATCAGCACACAGTAACAATCTCGAGAAAGACCATAAAAAATCTGCATCTCAGGCTCTTTATTACAAAGGTGTTAGTTATCACATGGTAAACTGGTTAGTTATCTTGACTCAACTTCCTGTTTTTTTTTTTTTTTCTTCCAATTATGTGCACCTTCTGTTCCTTATGTTTTCTTTTTTCACTTTTTTACTGTGACTGTTTGTTTGGGTATGTTCGATTATTTAATCAAAATATACTGCTTCCTGTTAGTCTTAATTTCAAGTAGCCTATTTGTGAGGTTCACTTGTCTTTTTATGATTTTGTTTGATCGTATTTTTGTTTTTGGGATTTCATCTTGTGAATACATTTAAAGTAGTTTGATTTGTCTTGTTTGCTTCTAGTGGCTTAATATTGCTCAAGATGTTGTCGGAGTACATTGATATGAACAACCTTGTGCCCACACTATCTTCAGAAGTTGTTCACCGTGTGGTAGAAATCTTGAAGTTTTTCAACACAAGAACATGCCAACTTGTGCTTGGAGCTGGTGCTATGCAGGTACTGCTAGTATTGTTTTCAAGACTGTGGTACAATTTAGACATATGCGCATATATACATGTTCAAATTGACACTCAAACTATATATTTGGAGCAAGGTCTTTTTTAGTGGTTTCTCCTTAAATTTTAGGTCTTCCTGTACATCTTTTATTTGAACTTTCTTTCATTTGATTAACTTTTTTTTTTTTTTTGCTGAAGATTCTATCATGTTTGTTCATCGACCTCAACATTGTCATCTCTTATTCAGTTAATTTATGCTCATGTTGGCATTTCATTTTTTAGTACCATAGAGCATCATTGGTCTTTTATGGTGTGTTTGGTAGAGAGGAAAGAATTAGGTGAGAAATAAAGTGGATAGAAGTAGAGAATAGAGAAATAGATAAGTGGAAATAGATATGAAATATAGTGAAAATTTGATTGTTTGGTTGAAGAGAAATAAGTGAGAAATAATATTATTAATGTTTAGTAAGATTGAAAGAAATAAGTGAGAAATAAAATATATTAAAAAGAGATGAGAGAAATAAATAAATAAAGAGTAAAAAGAAAGAAATAGAAAATAAAAAATATTTTTAACATTAATTTTTATTTATTTAAATAAAAAAATTATATAACTGAATAAATAATATTTTGAAATAAAAAAAATAACTAATTAAAAGTAAGTAAATAATTTTAAAGTAATATTTTTTAGATTAAAAATTAATTAAAATAATAAATTTAAATTATATAAACATTTAAAAGTTATTAAATAAAATTCTTAACTTCAACGCGAATAAAACAATTTGTATATGATTGGTCTCGCAATCAGTTCATTATTCGATTACGAATGCTTGTTTGTAACTACGATTACAAATGATTTGGTTTTTGTTTCGATATTTAATTCCCATGCTTATATTAACAGATAGGTGGGAGATTGGGATACAGCATCCGTGGCACGCTGCAATCACAGGCCAAGGCTTTTATTGATTTTCAGCATGAATCACGGGTTAGTTTTGATCTTTGTCCTTTCTTGTATGGCTTTCATCACCATGAAATCTCCGTACATTTTTTGTTAATTGCTGCTGCTTTTCATGTAGATGTCAAAGATAAAGGCAGTGCTTGACCAGGAAACTTGGGTGGAGATAGATGTTCCTGATGAATTTCAATCCATCATTAATATGCTTTTTACATCTGAAGCATTGACTTCTGAGAACCTTAATGGCACTGAGGATGATATTTCAACTGGTTACAATGGTGTCGTGACTAACAATGATGTTATGCCAACGGCAGATAGTGCACAGTCAAATGCTGAACAGCAAATTACTCGGACAAATTCCATTGAAGCATCTATGAATAGTGAAGCATCCGATAGTTCCAAACCCCTGGTCGATTCAATAGAACCAAATAAAGCTCATGGTAGGATTTCATCAGCACACAGTAACAATCTCGAGAAAGACCATAAAAAATCTGCATCTCAGGCTCTTTATTACAAAGGTGTTAGTTATCACATGGTAAACTGGTTAGTTATCTTGACTCAACTTCCTGTTTTTTTTTTTTTTTCTTCCAATTATGTGCACCTTCTGTTCCTTATGTTTTCTTTTTTCACTTTTTTACTGTGACTGTTTGTTTGGGTATGTTCGATTATTTAATCAAAATATACTGCTTCCTGTTAGTCTTAATTTCAAGTAGCCTATTTGTGAGGTTCACTTGTCTTTTTATGATTTTGTTTGATCGTATTTTTGTTTTTGGGATTTCATCTTGTGAATACATTTAAAGTAGTTTGATTTGTCTTGTTTGCTTCTAGTGGCTTAATATTGCTCAAGATGTTGTCGGAGTACATTGATATGAACAACCTTGTGCCCACACTATCTTCAGAAGTTGTTCACCGTGTGGTAGAAATCTTGAAGTTTTTCAACACAAGAACATGCCAACTTGTGCTTGGAGCTGGTGCTATGCAGGTACTGCTAGTATTGTTTTCAAGACTGTGGTACAATTTAGACATATGCGCATATATACATGTTCAAATTGACACTCAAACTATATATTTGGAGCAAGGTCTTTTTTAGTGGTTTCTCCTTAAATTTTAGGTCTTCCTGTACATCTTTTATTTGAACTTTCTTTCATTTGATTAACTTTTTTTTTTTTTTTGCTGAAGATTCTATCATGTTTGTTCATCGACCTCAACATTGTCATCTCTTATTCAGTTAATTTATGCTCATGTTGGCATTTCATTTTTTAGTACCATAGAGCATCATTGGTCTTTTATGGTGTGTTTGGTAGAGAGGAAAGAATTAGGTGAGAAATAAAGTGGATAGAAGTAGAGAATAGAGAAATAGATAAGTGGAAATAGATATGAAATATAGTGAAAATTTGATTGTTTGGTTGAAGAGAAATAAGTGAGAAATAATATTATTAATGTTTAGTAAGATTGAAAGAAATAAGTGAGAAATAAAATATATTAAAAAGAGATGAGAGAAATAAATAAATAAAGAGTAAAAAGAAAGAAATAGAAAATAAAAAATATTTTTAACATTAATTTTTATTTATTTAAATAAAAAAATTATATAACTGAATAAATAATATTTTGAAATAAAAAAAATAACTAATTAAAAGTAAGTAAATAATTTTAAAGTAATATTTTTTAGATTAAAAATTAATTAAAATAATAAATTTAAATTATATAAACATTTAAAAGTTATTAAATAAAATTCTTAACTTCAACGCGAATAAAACAATTTGTATATGATTGGTCTCGCAATCAGTTCATTATTCGATTACGAATGCTTCAATTCAATAAAGAGGTGTAATTGATTATGATTGAAGCTGTATTCGATTGAAGCTATTCTCGTAATGAAATACCTAGACACACTTCCCTTCAATTTCTTGTGTATTTCTTCGCAGTTTTGCAAAGAAATAAAATACATGTGGGACCCATTACTTTTAATTTTGCACCTGGCAAATTCTCACCATCCAAACAATCAAACTTATTTCACCTCTGCTATTTCTCACCTCTCCTCCCTATTTCATTGCTGTTTCAATGCAACCAAACAGTGTTAGTCAGGTCTTATCATTTCATATATCATGTTATAATTTATATGTTGTACAGGAGCATAAAAACAACAGTCAACAACACCAACCAAGTGTTATTCTCACTGAATAGTGTCAGCTACATGTATTGTAGCATCATTGTGTACTCTATCCCTTATCAGAATTCATGAAACATTAAGTAATTCAAAATTTCAAATCTTTCTAGCCTTAGACCATATCTTTTGTGGTCTCCCTCTTGGCCTCTCCCCTTCCATGAAAGGGTGGCTGTTATGATGGCATGTATCAGACTATAGTTTGTCATTTTACATGCCCAAACCATCTTAACTGACCTTTAGGGGGCGTTTGGTAGGGGAGAAATTTTTCCATACCCAGGAATTATGATTTCTGGAAATAGCTAAATCTATTTGATTACTCATAAAGGTTACTGGGAATATTTATAAGGATTTTTGGGAATTAAAGATTTTCATGTTTGGTTACAACAGTATATTCTTGGATATATAAATATTTTTTATAAGAATATCCTTTATTAAAATATACTCATTAGATATATTTACTTAAATCTTATTACAAATATGACATTAAACTATTTTAAAAAGTTGAAAACTTATAGTTAATATTATTTAAATGCAAAATTTAACAAAATAAATAATTAAAGAAAAATGCTACATAATAATTAAGAAGGATAAAAATATATTATTTCATTTCATTCAAATAAAAAGATAAAAAAAGTGTTAACAGATACCATTAAACTAAAAAAACAAAATAGACTTTAATAATATTATTAAAATTGACAAGGTAATAAGATAGAAGACAGAGAGATGGAGACATGTAAGGGACAGAGAGAGAGAGAGAGAGAAAGAAAAAGAGAGGAGTGATAGTGAGCGAGATAGAGTGAGAAAGAGAAATAGAAGGAGGGAGAAAGAGGGAGGGAGAGAGGGGGGGAGTGAGAGTGAAAGAGACAGAAAGAGAAGGAGAGGGAGAAAGAGAAATAGGAGAGAGTGAGGGAGGTAGAGGGAGATAGAGAGGAAGAGAGGGGAAGTGAGAGTGGGAGAAAGAGAAATAAAAGGAGATAGAGAGAGAGAGAGAAAGAGAGCGGGAGGGAGTGAAAGTGAGAGAAAGAGAATTAGAAGGAGAGAGAGAGAGAGAGATTTTCTGTTTTAAAAAAAGATATTGTGATCTTTTTATATACATAAAACTTTCTCCATACTTCGGGAAAGTTGGATTCCCACCCTCCTCCATTGGAATGTTTTATAGGAAAAAGAGATAAAAATGGTTCTCGAAAAACTATATTCCTAGAATTTTTTTTTTAAAATAGATACCAAACATGGGAAATTAAGATTCCTGACTTGAGATTCTCAGGAAAGTAAAAACTTTTCGCATACCAAACACCCCCTTATAGTGTTTCGCTTACATCTCATCTTTTATCCATTTTGATATACTGAATCATCTGTTTCAAGTTAAAACATACTCATTTCTATGACTTTCATCTTTTGTTCATTACATACAACCATATACTTGTATTAGGGTCCTTTGTAAGGACTTAAGCACATGAGGAGTGTCCAACCCAAAAGACTTAGTCCATTAGGTGGGAGAGCCTAATGGCTTAAGTATTGTATTGAGCTTTTTATTCTATTCAATGTTGGATTTCTAACATTTTCACCCCCTTTAAGAGCTAACATTCATGGTGGCTTTCACATTATCGACACTTACCTAATGGTAGCCGGTTTCAATTTGATGGTTTCACTCATCGATCAATATTCGGTATTGCACCTTAGTCTAGCTTAGAGGTAGCGCTTTCCATATTCCAATCAATGAAAAAAATAATTGTTAAGATTTAAACACATAAGAAGAGCCCAACTCAAAAGACCAGCCCATTAGGTCAGAGAGCCTTAAGATTTAACTACCACGTTGAACTTCTTATTCTACTTAATGTGGAGCTCCTAACATTCTCCCTCTCCAGAAACTGATTGGAGCCAAGCAAACTAAAACTTGAGGAATTTATCTTTATAATTCCAATTCTGTGTTAATCTAGCCTAGCATAGCACGGGGAGTATATAGTTGAATCATTTCAGCCTGCAACTGTCCTGCGTAATGGAAAAACTGCAAAATAATGCTGGGTTTTAGAATTTTTGGGCTTCTCATTTTGGATATTATTTCATCTAAACTGATTTCTATGTATGAGCGAAAACAATAAATTGAAAGACAGCATAGCTGACATTTTTTTTGGCTTTCCTACTTCGTATCCTGGTTTTTCCCCATAGTTTACTGATGTATCTCCATTCCCATTTCAATTTACTTGGATCTTTCTCATTCTAGTGGCTTCTAATTCTTCCCAAGTTCTGTGCAGGTGTCTGGTTTGAAGTCTATTACTTCAAAACACCTGGCGTTGGCGAGTCAAGTCATTAGTTTTGTACATGCTATTATTCCTGGTACAAATGCACTCTCCTAACTAAAGATTTTTAATGTTGTACTGAGGAATTTTTTAATGTGTTTGTTTCATGAATTTATTATATTTTTTTCATTGTATGAATTAAATTATAACTTTGTTTTTCATTTCTGGTATAAGATATTCGGCAGATTCTTTTTCTTAAAGTACCCGAGACTAGAAAAATATTATTGCTTTCAGAGATTGATCGGGTCGCTCAGGTATGTGCTTCATTGCTATTTAACCTTTACTCTTTAGTCCTTTTGTTAGAGAAAAACTTGTTCAGATGATTTGTTCATGTACTGCATTTTTTGAATGATTGCTATTTTGGAAGTGTGATGGTTTCTTTCTTTTGCTGCATATTGATGATGAAAATTCATGGGTAATCAATTCATCGTGTATAGTATAATTTACTTGTAGTTGAATTTGTGGAAAGAGATTTTCAATTTAATTACCCCTCCTCAGATTCTCCCCTCCCCTTTTTTATTTTTCAATTGAATGGAGCAAAATATTGTTAAAGAGAAAGGGAAAAAGTAATAGAGAGGATAAGACTTTCATGAGGAATTATATTTGCAAGTCACAACAATATGTGAGGGTTTAATCTTGGAGGTCAATAGTTAAGATTTTGCTACCTTTGTCCAAATGTTGATTTTAGTAAAAGTAATAAGGAGAAGGAACCCAGAATGTGTTACTATTATATCATACATTAGATCCTTTTTTTTTTTCAAACTTGACTTTTTTTAATTGAAACATGTTTAAAAAATTTATAATTAGTGTTTTTTTGTAGAAAGCAAAAACCAAGGGAATAAAAATTGTTTCTACTGCTTTTTAAAGGAGCTAAAAATTACAGTGTGCTTGGTTCTTTTATTGGAATAGAGTCTGACGACATTTGGCTCAACATAATTCTGTATTCTCTCTCATACCACATGCGATGACTTGGCTACAAAGCTACAATGTGAATGTGCATGTTTTCAAAGTTGAAAACAAAGGTTCTCTTAATTTTCCCACTGGTTCCTTCATGTTCAAATTCATTTACTTCTGTCATCTGCGAAATTCATCACTGTCTGCCATTAATTGTGATGACTTGTTAGTCTTTTCTGCACTTTTGTACTAAATGTTGTCGCTCACTTTCTTATTTTGAATTTCTTATTATTCTTAATTAATTCCTTTTCTTTCCTTACTCCTTTTTTGTTTTTTCTTGTTTCTTTTTACCATTAACTTAACACATGCCCCATCTATAAGGTATCTCTGTTAAGAAGAATGACATTCGTCTTTCTAATACATAACTGCATGGGATGGAGCCATTTCAAATGTAATTTCAAGAATGAATATGGTTTATTCTCCTTCAGTATCCAAACATATTTATTAAAACAATAGCTGTGTAGGGTCTGCTATAGTTGGCTTATCCTTGTGCTCCTTTTTGGTTTCTATTTACAAGGATGGCAGTTGTTTCTCTAATTCCTCTTATTTCTACATTTTCTTTTCTCTCTCAAATAAACTGTATTTTATAAATTTATAAATTTTAAAAATTGATTCATTTTGTTTGTTAAAAAATTTAAGCACTTTTAGGAATGTATTCTTTTATCACAACATTTGATTTACTGTTTTTTTTTTTTTTTCATTCCAGGATTATAAAGTACACAGAGATGAAATACACAGTAAATTAGTTCAAATAATGCGAGAAAGATTACTAGTCCATTTACGTGGGTTGCCTCAAATTGTTGAGAGTTGGAATAGACCTGAGGATGCTGACCCTCAGCCTAGTCAATTTGCTCGGTCCCTTACAAAGGTGAATAATTATGTGTAAATGCTTAGACTGCGTGTGTGTTCTGTCTTTCACCTTCTGTTTCTTTATGATTGAATTTTAAAAGATTTTAATATGTATCTTCCTAATTCCTATCCCGTAGTTTAAAGCATAAATATGAATCCCAAATAGCACAAAAAGCTTTTGGGAGAGAATATAGTGGCTCAGTAGTCACTAGGTTTATAGTAAATAAGGAAGTGATTGTTGCACAGTCAAAATTGAGATAAACCCCTCACAGATGTGCAATAAACTATTTGTCAAACTGATTTAATAATTTAACCACTTATAGGTAACAAGTTTATGTCCAGACGCTAAATATATGTTGATAATAGGGTGGGTGGAGTGATATGAAATTATAGTTTTTGAGTTTCACTCATTCCCCACCTGTCTCTGAAGCAATCTCATAATTGGATCTTATTTATTTTTTGAATTTATTAGGAAGTTGGGTACCTACAACGTGTTTTATCTCGAACTTTGAATGAAGAAGACGTTCAAGCAATTTTCGGGTAAGAATGTCAGAAATTTCCATTTTCTTTGTTCTTATAATATGTTGAAGAAAGATCATAATCAAGAGTACTCTACAGAACATTGTTCCTATTGTTTTTATGCTGCGATGTTTATTAAAATAATGGGTTTTTCATATTAGGTTAAGATTAGAATCCCACATTAGATATATGGTCAATTTCAAAGGACTCCTTATAATGACTAGGACAATGCTCCCCCATTTAGCCAACCTTTGGGGTTGAGTTAGGCCAAATTCGTTCTTATTTCTAATATATTGATTTCTACATAACAGTAGGTGACTGATTATTCTCTTTTCCCTTGGCCTTGGCTATAATTAGTTGAAAAGAAACCTGGTTGTTTTAAAAAAACAGTAGAGCGTAGTAGCTATAAGTTTTAAATTAGTCTTCCATCATGTAAATGATTATAGTGCAGATTTTTTGGTATCTCTGTTGTTATTCGCAGTGTGATTTCTGGTGCCTGATGAAGTAATTTTTTCATTTCCATGGTTGAAATATTATATCTGAAGATCATGAAGTGGGTGACACTGATTTACTATAATGAAATAACCATTTTGGGTATTTTTGGATGGAGTTTGGAGAGAAAAGGAGGCTAGGGTAATTTTTCATTTCTAAATTGAGAGAATTATGGAATATTTATAGAAATGAATAAGGCATGATGGGAAGGAGTGTCAAGTAACCTCCCAATCATGTGTTGCACAGCTATTAGTATTACTATCAATTATACTGTTAAATCCCCTAGATCTGTATTATTTCCTGTGTGGAATTATGAAATAAAATTCGTTTATTTTCCCATTTAAAAGAAAAGAATGAAAGATTACTGCACTCTCTGCATTGAAAGAAAATTTGATTGTATAATGTTAACATCATATGAATTCCTACTTCTCACTCCTTGAGTTTGCTACTTTTCAGGCAAGTGGTCGTTATATTTCATTCACAAATTTCAGAAGCATTTTCAAGATTTGACATAAGCACTCCTCCAGCTAAGAATAGGTATTTACTTTTATGAAGTTATACTCTGTAGAAATAAATTTTTAAGGTACTTTATAAAATGCAGTGATTTTGTTTTTATTCCTTAAATTTTTCCCACTTGCTAGGCTATATCGGGATGTCAAACATATTCTTCAATGCATACGGTCATTGCCATTGGGTGATTTGAGTAAATCTGATACCCCAAACTGGGGTCAGCTGGATGAATTCTTGGTGCAGAGATTTGGAAATGATGCTGTTCAGTAAATTGTATTGTAAAGTAGCAACTCAATTGCTTCCGTGGGAAGGCTAACATACTTTGGAAGATATGGGGGTGATTTAAACCTTCTTCACTCTGCATTTTTTGTGTAACACTAAATTGAGGTAATATTATTGCTACATTTTGTTTTTTATAGCTTACACATGAATTCTTGTTATCTTCTTGATCATTTCAACCCTAAATAGGGAACTAGGGTAGCCACTGGGGTCAGGCTAGTAGTGATGGGCTTGGATGGTTTAGATGAGGTCATTGGTTCAAACCTTATTACCATTGTTGTATTAAAAAAAATAGGTGGCCTGTTGAATGCTTTAATTTGTTATTTCACTTTGAGGCGAATGATTCATCTCTTTTGCTATAAGAATGATATGCTTAGTTTTAATTTAATGTTCTTTAAACAAACTGTTTGATGAGCATGCATGAATGGTAACTCATCAAAAGATTAATGAAAAGTATAGGATATGCGCACTGGAACATTGAAATATTTCTTGCAGATAGGCAAGCAGTTGACTATATTAGTGGGATTTGTATAAAGTCCAAGTGGCTGAGGCTTGATGGTAGACTTTTGATTAGATTTTGTTGTTTCGGCAGATAAAAATATACCTGACAGAATCAAATAACATTAGCATTGTCCTACTAGGTGAGTTCAAGTACATAGATCATAAGTCATGACACACTATTGGGCTTGGTTAATAATCAAATTCATATGTTCACTATAAGATTACTTTTAATAATTTTTTCAAATATCCTTCTTGATCTTTCTTTACTTCTTTTCACTGGGTTAAAACCATGTAATCTACTCTTGTAGGCTTAAAGACACGACAGAAAGCCTTAATTAAATTGGTTTCATAAAACATGAATAGGGGCGGGGACTGGGAGATTGAATATTGAGTTGTGATGAGCGTTATATACTAGACCGTTTCATATACAAATTCTGAATTCCATTTTCTCATTTTTTTTTTCAGGCCTTTGGTTGGTCTGTGGTAGATATACAAGGTAATGTATCATTTCTGAGCATTGTGCAGCCGTGGTTGGTCGTTTAACAGAAGTTTTGTAGCAGTCGATGTTGATATTCAAATTCTTGTTTTGTCTCCATAATTGTAATGTTAAGTTGAAAATAGATATGATTTAGTGAATGAATTAAGTTTTTCCCCCCGCCCATATCTTTCCCTTTGCTTCTTCAGCCATGAATATCGATGAATCAATATGTACACAATTCGAGAAATCCATAGTAAGATTACCAGTCTGTGTGTTCTGTTCTGGTGCATATTTGAGAAATCTAGTGAGATTACCGATCTGTGTGCTCTTATAAGAACTACCTTAAATAAATAAATAAATAATATTTGCAATGGAATAATGCCAAATATACACATTTGAAAGTGTTATAGATACAATTGGTGTCAGGAATGGAGAAGTGTTGACATGATATTTGCCCTAATCTAGTAATAATTTGATGGTGCATGTGGTGCATATCATTGCGCTGAAACGGTAAGCATTTGGCAATTTCTTGCAATTATAGATACTGCCGATGTATTGATTTAATAGAAAAGGTCTTGTATTGTTAATTACAGCTATTGTGACATTAATATAGGTTAACTATGTCAATATTCACGATTAAAAAAAAGCTAATGTTAATAAATATTTTAAATCTAAGTATTTTTTCGCATAGTTAAAAGAAAAAACTGTACAATCGTATAGTTTGATTCCTATATATCTTTTCTCGAGCATAGAACCGATTAATTTTACAGTGTTATGGTTTTGATTCTTCATTTATCCAACAGCTTGATACTTTATTGTATGGAAGAATTAGGGGTCGAAATTTAAACAAGTAAACACAGAAATTAAAATTAAACAAATTCAATTAAAACGTGTTACTAATTAATTATGAAAACTGGAGTGTAGCACCAGCAATTTGTCTTCGTCCTCCGCTTGTATCATGTCGACGATGTCCCCCATTACGACTTCAAGCCGAACAATCTTGTTAAGGTGTCTAACTTCAACTCCTTCTTTATGTTGGAGAAACACGAGCAATCTACTACACACTGCATGCAGCACACAACCATACTTTATGCGATAATCATCCGTTGGAGTGGCAACTTCCATGGCCATCGTCAACCATGAAAGCCACAGGTTTGAAGACTTGTAGGAAATAGGATTTTAACACACGATTAAAATAAAATAGTAACCAGTAAGTTAATATGTGGAATGTATAAACTAAATATTTATTATATGTAACTAAAATTTATATTGAATAATATTTATAAATAAATATTATGCTTAAAATATATAAATCATAATTAAAGTTTATATAAATAGATGTTTTTAAATATATAATTATATTTTAAATTTATAATAAAATAATTTATATTGTAATATAATATTTTTTTATTGATAATTTATTTTAAAAATATTAAATTTAATTCATAAATAATCATGTAAATAAAAATTAAATTAAATATGAAGTTAAAAAAATATTTAAAAACTCTTGTCGAAGAAAAATTCTTGAAAACATTATCCTATAAGATAAAAATTTGTATTTAATATATTAAGATTGATTCATTGGACATATCATCATTCTAATAATCTAGAATCCTATTAATAGAGAGGTTGAATTTTTTAATAATATATTTAAATAAATATTAAATTATAACAATTAAATACATCATATTATTTATCTAATTTTTAAAAATTATAAAATCATCAATTATATAATTTATATATATATATGTATATCATTTTTTTAAATTAATCTTAATATATCATTTTACTATAATGTTTTTTTCTATAGAGTCAAAAGGCGAACTACATCCATCTTAAATCCCAACACTACATTAAATTGCATTGAAGTAATTTAAATTTAAAAGATAAATATGGTATTCATTAATTTTATATATACTTGTAGGAAAATAGGCACAAATATTTATTTTTAGGGGATTTTGAGAGAATATAATTATTAAAGTGTGTAGTATAAAGTTAGGGGTAATAATTTCTAATGAGAAAATGGAAATAGTTACCAAAATTTATCATCTTTATAATAAATATAGATATGAGAGTAGTCACCGATACATAGTTTTTTTTTTTTAGTTTGATAAGGATATTATAAATTCTTTCTACTAGATTGACCCATATAAAGATAAAATGGTACTTCTAACACAATTTCATGCTCAAGTTGATGATCGTACCCCAATCTTTAGTTAAATTTTAAAATATATATTTATATTAAAAATTAATTTTATAATATATATTTTTAATTAAAATAAATAATTATTACATATATATTTATAAGAAAATAAATTAGATTAAAGCACATTGTATAATTAAAAATACTTTTGATAATTTCAAAGTGTAAATACTTATGGTCAGTCTAAGTGGTTCAACACTTATTCTCTTTAAGCAATGATCATGATTTGATCTTTGACTTAAGTAAAAAGTTGTAATTATAGATACTACTTTATTCTTATAGAAGTTGATTTGGTAGGAGAGTTATGCCACCTTATTGAATAAAAAAAATGAATACTTATAATAAGAGTACAACCTCACTCCTTTTCATCCTATCTTACTTTACGTTGCTACATATTTAATTATTATTTTTAATTCATAGTGCATTTTTTTTTTTACCATCCATGTATTAACATTATTCTTATTAGTATAAAAGAGACATTTCATACCTTTTTTTATTTTTAAAAATAAAATAAAATAAATAATAAAATAATTTAAATTAAACTTGTGAGGGTGATTAATAATTAAAGAAGATGATTAATAAAAGAAAAAAGTATTCTGAAAGGCAAGTAATAATACAGTAAACAAAATGTCTGAACCAAAAAAGTATATCACCTTTTGTAATAATATAAAATAAATCTATTTAATTTTTTTATTAACAGAAAAAAATTAAAAAAATTATAACAAAGTTTGAATATAAGACTTTATACATATTATTTTAACCTTTAATACTGCACCAACCCATTTTTATGTATTTGGATAAAGATATTTTAATGAAACAATTAATTTTTTTTAAGAAATTAAATCAGTCGACTCTAAAATGTGCTTGCTGAACAAGTTATTTTAAATGAACTTTAAATCTACTCATTTTTATGGAGCATTTCTATTAACTAAATTAAAAAATTTGAAATTCTGAAAAACTGAGGAATTTGAAATTACGCTCGCTGGGTCACACACGACGCCGCCTCCCTTACTGCTTAACACTCGCGACGCCGCTCTCTCGCCATTTTCACTCTCTCGCGATTCTCACTCACGATTTCGCTTTTTCTCGCTCGTCATCCTCGCTCTCTCACTCATAATCCTTGCTCTCTCCCTTTACTCAGGTTCGTTTTTCTGTTCTTTTAAATTTAGGGTTGTATTTGGTTTCCTATTGAATTTGTTAGGTTAGAGTTTTTCAATTAGCTTTTTATCCCTCTAGTTTGTAAGTTTGTTTGGTGGTTAACTTCTTTTAGTTGGTTATTTGATGTGATTTTGATTCATTTTTGCTTGTTCCATTGATTTTATCATGTTGTGACTATGTGTTAATATACTTAGAAGCTCATTTTGTATTAACCAGCTTTTAATAATGCTTTTCCTTATTTCTCTCTGCTTTCTGATATATTATGTTTTCTCAACTTGCTTCAGTTCCTAGCTATGACTCACTCATTTTACATTACATGTATATGAATAAACAAACTCTCCATCAAAATAACAATCTTTAATCTATCTATATACTCCTCTGCATGTTTTTCACCAACATACGATCCCCTGTTTTCCCCTAACCTCCCAACCTATGCATTCTGCACACTATTTGTTTGTAAAAATGTCTCTCTTTGTTACCTTTCTATCTTATTTCCTTTGCTTATAGTTATTATTATTATTTTAAAAAATGGAAAATATTCATTGTTTGTGTTAACTTGCATTTTTACCTTGTTTATGATTAGTTTGTTGACAAATACTCATTTTCTGTTCATTTACATTTTTTAGTGTTTTAACGTAGAAAATAAAGAATTTATGAAAAAGAGAGCGGTATTCATTCTTCTATGCCATTCTGCATCTCAACTGCTTTGTTCTTGAAGCTAGAGGAAGGACACAAGGCAGGACACAGAAATTTAAAGTGAGCATATTGTGTTGTTTTAGGAGTTGAGCACATGTGGCATACAACAAGGTATGCAATTCCTGAAACTTCCCCGCCTTCTTATGCCACACATTGGGAGGATGCATTATAATTCGCAGCCATTGCCATCACAAAGTTCCTACAAATTTGATAGTATTGATGATGCTGTGGCTTTGTTTCACCACATGGTCAATATGCATCCCCTGCCATCGATTGTGGAATTCACCAAAATCTTAGGAATGATTGCTAAGATGAGATACTATGCCACTGCTATTGATCTCTATACCCAAATGGAATATAAGGGTGTTGTGCCATTTACAGTTACTTTTAACATTTTGATCAACTGTTTCTGCCACATGGGTCGAATGGATTTTGCTTTCTCTATAATGGGTAAAATTCTTAAGTGGGGTTGTCGACCAAATGTTGTAACTTTTACTACACTAATGAAGGGGTTGTGTGTTAATGCTAAAATGGTAGATGCACTATACGTCCATGATGAAATGGTTGCAAAAGGGATTCAATTTGATGAAGTTCTGTATGGAACCTTAATCAATGGGTTATGTAAGAGTATGACAGGAAAGACAAGAGCTGCTATTCAGCTGCTTCAGAAAATGGAGGGACAGTTGGTTAGGCCCAATCTTGTAATGTACAATACAGTTGTCCATAGTCTGTGCAAAGATGGTCATATAAACGAGGCACGTGTTTTGTGTTCTAAAATGATTGTTCAGGGAATTTTTCCTGACATTTTCACTTATAGTTCATTAATTTATGGTTTGTGTCGTGCAGGCCAACAGAAAGAAGTTACATCATGGCTGAATGGGTATTGTGTAAACAATAAAGTTGATGAGGCAAGGGAATTATTTAATGTGATGATTGAAAGAGGTGAACAACATGACGTTACTAATTACAATATTATGATGAATGGATATTGTTTAAACAATGACGTGGGTGAGGCAAAAAACTTATTTAATATGATGATTGAAAGAGGGGAAGAACCTGACATTATTACTTATACTATTTTGATGCATGGATATTGTTTGAATGATAAAGTGGATGAAGCAAGAAGATTATTTCATGTGATGATTGAAAGGGGTTTGGTGCCTGATGTTTGGAGCTATAATGTCTTGATTAAAGGTTATTGCAAGATTAGTAGAGTGAATGAAGCTATGCATTTACTTGAAGAAATGTTTCTTAAGAATTTAGTTCCAAATATTATAACTTACAATTCTGTAGTTGATGGCTTATGCAAATCTGGGGGAATCATGGATGCATGGAAGCTTGTTGATGAAATTTATTATTGTGGTCAACCACCTCCAGATGTAACCACTTACAATATTTTGTTAGAATCTCTATGTAGAATTGAGCATGTTGACAAGGCAATTGCATTATTTAAACGCCTCATCTTTGAGAGAAGTTTTGCACCTAACGTTTGGAGCTACAACATCTTGATTAGTGGTTGTTGTAAGAATAGAAGATTGGATGAAGCCATGAATCTTTTTAATCATATGTGTTTCAGGAATTTGGTTCCTGATATTGTAACCTACAATCTCTTGTTAGATGCTTTATGCAACGGGCAGCAACTTGACAAGGCAATTGCATTATTAATATACCACACTGTTGACCAAGGTATTAGTCCAAATTTGCATACATACAATATATTGATTAATGGGTTGCACAAAGGTGGGAGGCCAAAGACTGCACAGAAGATTGCTCAGTATCTTTTCATTAGAGGCTATCATCCAGATGTCCAAACATATATAATCAATGAGCTTTGTAAAGTTGGAACGTTAGAATAAAGTAAGGCCTTGCTTTTATAAATGAAAGGCAGATTGCCTTCCTTTCATAATTGTGGAGTCAGTTATTCATTTCCTGTAGGAGGAAAAAAGTGAAAATGATGAAGCTAAGAAGCTTTTTTGAGAAATGATCACTAGATGTGGGGAAAACATGAAGGAATATATTGTTAGAAAACGCAGAAGCTGTCTTTGCAGCATGTGATGCTGCTCATGAAAGATGGTCAAAACTTGGGGTCCGACTGTCCGTGCAATTCTCCATCCTAGTTTGAAATTACAGGAGTTTCTAACCATATACAATATCACCCAGGAGTTCATTACTGCTATAGAAAAAGTATTTATTTCCATATTGATTTATAACTTACGATTACAAGTGATTTGGTTTTTGTTTCATTATATAATTCCATTTCCATTGCTTATATTAACAGATAGGTGGGAGATTGGGATACAGCATCTGTGGCATGCTGCAATCACAGGCCAAGGCTTTTGTTGAATTTCAGCATGTATCTTGGTTAGTTTTGATTTTTGTCCTTCCTTGTTTGGCTTTCATCATCATGAAATCTTTATACGTCATTGTTAATAGCTGCTGCGTTGCATGTAGATGTCAGAGTAAGGCAGTGCTTGACCAAGAAACCTGGGTGGAGATAGGTGTTCCTGATGAATTTCATTATTAATATGCTTTTTACATCTGATGCATTGACTTCTGAGAACCTTAATGGCACTGAGGATGATATCTCAATCGGTTACAATGGTGTGGTGACTAATAATGATGTTCTGCCAACGGCAGACAGTGCACAGTCAAGTGCTGAACAACAAATTACACGGGCTGATTCCATTGAAGCATCTATGAAATATGAATAGTGAAGCATCAGATAGTTCCAAACCCCCGATAGATTCAATGGAACCAAATAAAACATGGTAGGATTTCGTCAGCCCACAGTAACAATCTCAAGAAAGACCATAAAAAATCTGCATCTCAGGCTCTATTACAAAGGTGTTAGTTATCGCATGGTTAACTGGTTAGTTATCTGGATTCAACTTCCTCTTTTTTTTATCTTCCAATTATGTGCACCTTCGGTTCCTTTTGTGAGTATGTTTGTGTAGGTATGTTCAATTATTTTATCGCAATATACTGCTTTCTGTTAGTCTTAGTTTGAAGTTTCCTATTGTGAGGTTCACTTGTCTTTTTATGATTTTGTTTGATCCTATTTTTGTTTGGGCTGTCATCTTGTGAATACATTTAAAGTAGCTTTTGGTTTGTCTTGTTTGCTTCTAGTGGCTTAATATTGCTCAAGATGTTGTCGGAGTACATTGATATGAACAACCTTTTGCCAACATTATCTTCAGAAGTTGTTCACCGTGTAGTAGAAATCTTAAAAGTTTTCAACAGAAGAACATGCCAACTTGTGCTTGGGGCTGGTGCTATGCAGGTACTGCTAGTATTGTTTTCAAGACTGTTTGGTACAATTTAGACATACGGGCATGTGTAAATGTGACAAGTTTTACATGATACCGATTGATACTCAAACCATATATTTAGAGCAAGGTCTTTTTGAATGGTTTCTCCTTAAATTTTTAGGTCTTCCTATACATCTTTTATTTGGACTTTCTTTCATTTGATTATTATTATTTTTTTTTGCTGAAGCCTCTATCATATATGCCTGTGCATCGACCTCGACATTGTCATCTCTTATACACTTAATTTTTGCTCTTGTTGGCATTTCATTGCTTTACTTTCAGTACCATAGAGCATCATTGGTCTTTTAGCCAGTTCTTATATATCTTGTTATAATTTATATGTTGTACAGGAGCATAAACACAACAGTCAACAACACCAACCAAGCCTTATTCTCATTGAATAGTGTCAGCTACATGGATTGTAGCACAATTGTACTCAATCCAGTATCAGAATTCATGAAACATAAAGTAATTCAAAACTTCAAATCTTTCTAGCCTTGCACCATATCTTTTGTGATCTCCCTCTTGGCCTCTCCCGTTCCATGAAAGGGTGGCTGTTATGATGTCATGTATCAGACTATAGTATGTCATTTTACATGCCCAAACCATCTTAAATGACCTTCATGATATGTTTGGGAAAAGGTAAGTAGATAGGAAAGAGAAGAAAAGTGTGTAAAAGTTAAAATGTGTTGTTTGGTATAGGAGAATTGAGGGGAGGTGTGTAGATATTATTGTGGGGCCTACACCAAAAAACTTATCTAAAATGAAAAGCCTAGGAAAGTTGGTAACAAAATAATAGTAATAATAATAATAAATATACTAGTAATAATAAATATTGAATACAATTTTTATCTACTATTCCTCCTTTAGCTTCAGTTCAGGTAACGTTATATGCTTCTAAACTGATTTTTCCTCGTTGTTTGTGGCTGGATCAATTTTTTATAATTGAAAACCTTATCATTAGGAAATTTCAATTTATAGGCTATTCGCTCTCCACCCACTTCCATTCGTGTATGGTGCTGCTTTTGCCATTGCCCATTCAGTGTTTCATTTTGGTATTGGCTTCAAAGTGCATTATATCATTCTCATTCTCCTCTGCGTTCCGAGAATGTACAAGTATTACATTTACACTAAAGATGTTTCTGCCAAGCGGCTTGCAAAGCTATTTCTAGTTACTTTTTTATTTGGCAGTTTGTTTGGGTTCCGTGACCGTATTTTGTGCAAGGAGATTTCCCGTTGGCCTATTAACCCTCAGGGTCATGCTTTGTGGCATGTCTTCATGGGTTTCAAAATTTTAAATTTATTTCAAATAAATAATTTTAAAAATTAGGTGATTTTTTCAAATTAGGTGAGTCAACCCGTTTAGCCCACCAACCCGTGGTGGGCCGGGCCGGGCTCAACTTTTTCCAGCTCACCAATAAACGAGTTGGGTTGGGTTGGCTTACTTCCCCTAAGAAAAATAGAAGCCGTTGGTTGGTTTGCATCATATTCCCCAAATTAGACCAAACCGAACCGTAATTTGATTTTTCAGTGGATTTTTTTTTTGTATTGATTGATAGTGTCTCTCTAGGGTTCAGAGTTTTTTTTTTCTCTGCGACTGTGGACATGTTTGTGTATTTCGTTGTGCGTAGATTAGATAAATCATTCGGCTGCTAGAGCTTTTTTTTGAGAGAAAAAAAAAAGTTATTGCTCAAAATCTATTAGTTATTAAACAAGCACTTAAACGGTTTCAGCTCTACGATTTTTCATCTTCTTTTAATCTCTTCTTCCCTGTCCTTGTCCTGAACAAGTTTGACTTCCCATATGGCACTGAATTCCCAATTGTGTGATCTTGTGACTAATACTACGGTGGAGAATGGGGTTCTTATTGTAACTTGATAAGGAGGTGCTCATGACAGCGATATTTGAATATTAAGCTTTTGCTGATGAACATGATGTTACTGTTAGTTTTACTGATAATCACTGCCGTGTTTCTTTAAATATTGGATCAAACATTGTAATGGGTAGGAGAAAAATTCTTCTGCCCCTGTTCTACTCTTGTTTAATTTCCCATCATTGACTGACTGCTGTGATGGAATATGGAGATTCCATCATGCTGTTTATAATCCGACCCAGTTTGGTAGCAGACTATATTTATCTGCATTTGAACATGTTAGTTGTTTATTATTTTCCAGTATTTGATTTTCTGTTTTTTCTGTCTTTCTCTATCTTTTATTGTGGGGTAGGATCTTTAGGCTCTGCGAAAGTCAATGGTGGATATGGAGGGCACAGAAGGCTACAGGCCTTTCGCAGAATATGTGGAAGACAGCAACGAAGCACTCATTAACTTGACTGACTCAACCGAGCTTTGGCTTCTTAAGCTGCCTTTCTCCAATGTAAGTTTGTCTTTATGCTTATGATTTGCTTATTTCTTTTGAACTGAATTCCAACAACCGATGCCATCTAAATGAAAAAAAAAAAATCACAAAAGATTGATATCATCATCATTACAAAAGTGAAAAATCAAGTGGGATGTCAAGCATTTTGTTTAAAAATATAGTACTTGTTTTGATACCCCTTTGCTTGTGACTTCAGTCATGGTATCAAACAATTAACTTCTTTTTGGTCAATCCTCTCTACTAAGCTTATTTTTTCTTTTGTTAGAATCTTTTTGCATATATGTTTCGTGTTAATTTTACTGTTAGTTTTACTGATAATGACTGCCGTGTTTCTTTAAATATTGGATCAAACATTGTAATGGGTAGGAGAAAAATTCTTCTGCCCCTGTTCTACTCTTGTTTAATTTCCCATCATTGACTGACTGCTGTGAAAAAAAATCACAAAAGATTGATATCATCATCATTACAAAAGTGAAAAATCAAGTGGGATGTCAAGCATTTTGTTTAAAAATATAGTACTTGTTTTGATACCCCTTTGCTTGTGACTTCAGTCATGGTATCAAACAATTAACTTCTTTTTGGTCAATCCTCTCTACTAAGCTTATTTTTTCTTTTGTTAGAATCTTTTTGCATACATGTTTCATGTTAATTTTTGTTGTGTTAGATCTCATTAAGGAGTGTGGAAAAATTCATCCCTGTGTAATATCTCTTTCCATTTGCTAGTGTGTTTTCCCTCGTAAAATTGATCAATTTCTATAATTATGTGAGGTTTCATTCCATTCGAATGAGCTGGTATCTGTATTGAGATTGGTGGTGTTTCCTTCCATCTAGGATTTAGATGGTAGAAGAGCCTCTTCTTGATTTTATGTTGATCACTGCCATCATTATCTCACTTGATGTGTGTAATTTGTTGGACAGGATTTTTTATCTGACATACATGGGCAGAAATTGTTTCTCACACTTCAGAATAATGGTAAACTAGCCATCTTCGAGGGTTCATCAGGTAAATAAAGTGATCAGCTGTGACATCATCAATGCTCTGTTCTCTCCTTCAATTTCTGCTGCTTGATATTCATAATAGCATTTTTTTTTGTGTGATAAGAATATGATTTTTTGCAAGTGCCTTAATTTTCATGTTATGTTGGCAGGTAAAGTATATGATTTTGTAAGCTTTGCTGCTCAAGAGCCAGACGAAACGGTTTTTGTTTCCTCTACTGAACCAAAAATAGGTAAGCATCAATGTTTTCTATTACTCATATATGAAGGATGACAACTACAGCAAGGTAAAAGTGATGTCAACATAGCAGTCTTAATTGAGTACATAGCTTTTCACAATGGTGTTGGACATACTTGCTGCAACATCCAAAAGATAGTGCCTCAATATATGTTTTATGTGCTTAATATAGTTTGGGTTAAAGAGTTGTGAGAGTAAGAGCTCATTTGCTTCAGTTTTTTAGATCACTTTTAAAAATATTTGGTGTTTTTAACCTTTGAAAAATCAGAATCTGAAAAATGTCTTGTTGCTTATTATTTTTTAGAAGCTACTTTGAGTAGCTTTTGAAAAACATCTATAACTTGATCCTTATCTCTGCCAAAATGGCGAACTATCCCATTCTCCAATTCAATATCTGCTTGTAATTTTCATGGATTTCAAGTATGATTTCTGTCCTTATTATGTGCACGAGGAAACCTCTGTTCAGATGTTTTTTTTTTGTTTAATTTGTTCTGTCGATGTTGTTTTTATTAAAAAAAGTATAGGTATGATTCCAATATTAATGTATATTGGAAGTTATATTGTGAGTAGCAAATGATTACTTCTTTACTTGTGAACTTAACCTGTATGTTTTTTTTCTTTGGCAATGTTTTTCAGAATGTGTTTTGGATTCATGACTTGGATCTCACTTCCATTATTGGTTTTTCTCCCGTTTATATTGTATTGGATTTTCCATTGTTGTATTTGATCACTTTTCATGTCGCGTCTCTCAAGTTTGGCTTTTGTGTGTTGTAATAGTAGTAATAGTAGTAGGTAGTTTTAATCCTTATGTTTGAATAAAATTATTTATAAAATATATTGTTCTTTTATTTGAATAATAATAATATATTTATTTTTAAACAAAATTATCTATAAAAAATAAAGTAGTTTTCATTCAATTTTCTTTCTATTTCTCCCTTACCAAACAATCTTTATTTCTATTATATTTTTTTACACTTTTTTTTCCTTCATTTCTTTTTTCTTTACATCGCATTTATTAACCATTTTCATATAATGAATCATCTGTTTCAAGTAGTAACATACTCATTTCTTATAACTTTCATCTTTTGTTCATTATGTACAACCACATACTTCTGTAGATCGTGATATGCTTAATTATATGCATGAATTGGGGATCAAAATATAAGCAAGTTTACACAGGAATTAAAGTTAAACAAATTCAATTAAAACATGTTATTAATTATGAAAATTGGAATGTTACACCAGCAATTTGTCTTCGTCCGCTGATAACGATGTGTTGCATTACGACTTCAAGCTGAACAACCTTGTTAAGGTCTCTAACTTCAACTATTTCGTTCTGTCGGAGTAACACAAGAACAATCTCCTATACACTGCATGCATGTATGTGTTAAAATAATGTGGTGTTTATTTATGAATGTATGTTTTGTTAATGTTGCTCATGTCTTATATGTGCTTAAACAATTATGATATATATTCTCACTCTTGTTTTTCTAGTTGTTTTCTTGGTTGGATCGATTGTCATGCAGGAGTTAATTAGGTATATGAGGTTGATCATGAAAGACACAAAAATTGAGGTTTCAAGTTTATCATGTCTTGCTTTGATAGTATGGCATCTGGGTTAGAAGATTTTGTGTTTGTTTTATTATGATGATTTTGTTTAAGGTTTTGGAAAGGCTAGTGTATACATATGTGATGAACTTATATGTTGTTTTTTTTATATTTTTTTTTATTTCATTGTCTAATAATGAAGTTTTTATCAAGTAAAATTAAGATATGTGAATTATTTTACTAGTATTATAGAGAGAACGGTTTATTTAATCTTTAAGAAAAACATTTTCTTAATATCATAATATAGTAGTTTATTCTATAAAGTGCAATAATAATTGTTGAACTTTATTCTATAAAGATAAATCTTCTCACGTTAGCGGAGTTCAATCCTCAATTGTCATGTATTATTTTTTTAAAAAAATATTCTTATGCATACATTCAATAGAATTATATTAAGGAATAAAATCTCATTATATTAATCAATTCCTATATATTAAACCTATACAATTATGTTACGTGATAGTATTTTTAAGAACTAGAGTTTTTAAAGATATTTTTTTTTAATTTCTTACCTAATTTGGTTTTTATTTAATATAATTATTATTTATATTTTAAATAAATTTATTTATCAAAATTATATTTATTTATTTATTAAAAATAATATAACTATAATAAATGAATATCATAAAAATATTTAGTATGTTTGAATAAAATTATTTATAAAATATATTGTTCTTTTATTTGAATAATAATAATATATTTATTTTTAAACAAAATTATCTATAAAAAATAAAGTAGTTTTCATTCAATTTTCTTTCTATTTCTCCCTTACCAAACAATCTTTATTTCTATTATATTTTTTTACACTTTTTTTTCCTTCATTTCTTTTTTCTTTACATCGCATTTATTAACCATTTTCATATAATGAATCATCTGTTTCAAGTAGTAACATACTCATTTCTTATAACTTTCATCTTTTGTTCATTATGTACAACCACATACTTCTGTAGATCGTGATATGCTTAATTATATGCATGAATTGGGGATCAAAATATAAGCAAGTTTACACAGGAATTAAAGTTAAACAAATTCAATTAAAACATGTTATTAATTATGAAAATTGGAATGTTACACCAGCAATTTGTCTTCGTCCGCTGATAACGATGTGTTGCATTACGACTTCAAGCTGAACAACCTTGTTAAGGTCTCTAACTTCAACTATTTCGTTCTGTCGGAGTAACACAAGAACAATCTCCTATACACTGCATGCATGTATGTGTTAAAATAATGTGGTGTTTATTTATGAATGTATGTTTTGTTAATGTTGCTCATGTCTTATATGTGCTTAAACAATTATGATATATATTCTCACTCTTGTTTTTCTAGTTGTTTTCTTGGTTGGATCGATTGTCATGCAGGAGTTAATTAGGTATATGAGGTTGATCATGAAAGACACAAAAATTGAGGTTTCAAGTTTATCATGTCTTGCTTTGATAGTATGGCATCTGGGTTAGAAGATTTTGTGTTTGTTTTATTATGATGATTTTGTTTAAGGTTTTGGAAAGGCTAGTGTATACATATGTGATGAACTTATATGTTGTTTTTTTTATATTTTTTTTTATTTCATTGTCTAATAATGAAGTTTTTATCAAGTAAAATTAAGATATGTGAATTATTTTACTAGTATTATAGAGAGAACGGTTTATTTAATCTTTAAGAAAAACATTTTCTTAATATCATAATATAGTAGTTTATTCTATAAAGTGCAATAATAATTGTTGAACTTTATTCTATAAAGATAAATCTTCTCACGTTAGCGGAGTTCAATCCTCAATTGTCATGTATTATTTTTTTAAAAAAATATTCTTATGCATACATTCAATAGAATTATATTAAGGAATAAAATCTCATTATATTAATCAATTCCTATATATTAAACCTATACAATTATGTTACGTGATAGTATTTTTAAGAACTAGAGTTTTTAAAGATATTTTTTTTTAATTTCTTACCTAATTTGGTTTTTATTTAATATAATTATTTATAAATTAAATTTTAATATTTTTAAAATAAATCATCAATAAAGAAACTAATCTTGTATATTATAATTTAATTTTTTTTTATCATAAATCTAAAATATAATTTATGTTTCTAAATATTATAAAGTTTTAAATAAAATTTATATATTCAAATATTATATTTATTTACATGTAATTTATTAAAAATTTTAATTATATATAATAAATATTTAATTTTTGCAATTTATAGGCTTAAATACTAATAAATAAAATAACGAGAGAAAGTAGTAAAATCTTATTAAATACTCGCATAAAATAAATTTTACCAATAGTATATAAAGATTAAACTCTCAATAGAAAATAATTTTATATATCCTCACTATTGGGATATTTACACCCTTATTTAACAAACAATTTATTTGATATATAATTTTTAAAGTACTTATTATAAAAGTAAATAATTTTATTGTACATAATAATCTATAATTGAATGACGGTGAAAAATATTTATTTAAGTTAAATTATAATAGGAAAGTATAAATTGCTGATATATATTTATTTAAATATGAAATTGCATATTTGAATTTGTGAAAAATATTTGAATGCTTGGGAAATTATCCTTCGGAAATTTAACTTTTTCTTGTAGTGAGTGTTTTAGATTCCTATATGTGTGTGTATGTGTGTGTGTTTGTGTGTGCGTCTGTGTATGTGTGTTAATTTATACACGTTAGTGTTTTAATTTTAACATCAATAATATATAATTTAAAAAAAAAAAGACATTAGCCATATATTATTATTATTATTTTTTTTATAAATTGTTGATATGTTAGTACAGTCTATTTAAATAACATTAATAAACAAGTAATAAAAAAAATTTCAGTAAAATAAAATAAAAATTATTCATTTCAATTGAAATGATTTTTACAAAGATGAAATGAATTTAGATATATTATTTTACATATCTAGTATTAAACGAACTATATATATATATATAATATTTAGATTGAATAAATTTTCGTCTAAAAATAATTTAAATATAAATTTGATGTTTATCAATAATCTTATTATATATATATGATGAAATAATAATGAGATTCCTTTTTATACATTCTAATCAAGTTATTGATATAAAATGAAGTAAATATATGTATTTTTTATTTAGTAATTAAAAGTTTAAATTAGAATAAGACACAATTTCATATACAATTAGAGTCAATCATGAATCATTTTAAAATTTTTTAGAGAAACTATTGATCATTTATTCAATCTCCAATGCAATTCCTCATGAAACCCATAAATACATAACACTAAAAAATAAAACCTTTTAACAAAATTATGAACGTAATTTTCATTTTGTATGAGTTGAAGTCATTTTCAACAAAAGAATTTAAATAATTATTACAAAACTTAATAAACTTAAGGTCTGTTGGTGGTATAGGATAGTATATAATATGATGTAAGAGTAAGATATGATAATAGACAATATTAATCCTATTTAATATTTGATTCACATTATAATAACAAATCATGTAAGATATAACATAAATTATTTTTTTATTAAAATTACATATAAATGTTTGAAAAATAAGTTTTTAATTTAATTATTTAATAATTTCAAATTATAAAAATATAATTTTTACTATATTTTATAAAAATATTTTTTTTATTTAGGCAGTTATTTTTATTAAAATTATAAATAATTAAAAATTCAATTTTATTTAAAATATTTTCCTTAAAATTTTTTAAATAACATTTTTTTTATCTTAATTAGTAATGTACTTTAAATTTACATGTCAAAATTATTATAATTATACATAGAATAAAATGCTGAAAGGAGATTTTATAATTTATATTATAAAGTTAATATATAAATTATATTTTTTTGAAAGGATATATTAAAATTATAATATAATATAATATAATATATTAATATAAAAATTAAAATTATATAATATATTGCTATATATCTTATAAATTAATATTTATATTATATATATATATATATTTTTTATAATATATATTATATGAAATAATGTATTATTTCTTGACTCAACTTCCTTCTCAAACTTATCTTATTGCTTCTTAATCACACTCCTCCTCTCAAGATTAAAAATACACTACACTAACAAGATAAAACAAGGAGTAAGATAATAATATCATATTCTGTTTAGCAACAAACAACAAATTATTGTAGAATAAGATAATTATTTATCCTATAATATGTGTCCACTATACGAACTCTTATAATATAGTAATTTATAATTAATTAATATATAATATATAATATATAAAATATTAAATTTTAAGAATAAAAATGTGTATACAAAGACCAGGCTGTATTACCTTTGTTATAGATTTACAAAAATATATTCTTAATAATAATAATAAATAAATAAAAAGAACAGCACTTGTTACTGTGTAAAAATTATACTCCCAGAATAATAATATAAATAAAACTGGAAACGCGATTTGCATTGGAGTCAAAAGAAAGGTGTAACGGCTACTTGAAGGTGACCGTTGGTGACAACGTGGAAACCAAGTACGCTCCCCGAGGCATCTTTTCTAATCACTCCTTTCTCCTCTCTTTGCTACAAACAAACCACACTTCACACACTGCACAGTGCTTCTTCTTCGATTAGGGTTTTCTCTTCTTCGCCAACATGAACATCTTCAAGAAGAAAACCTCACCCAAAGGTGCACCATTTTTTTCCTCCTCTTCTCCCCAAAATTTCCCACATTGTTTTTTTTTTCATTTTTATTTATTTATATATTTACCTTCTCTTCCCTTTTGCCCTAAAGCATAGTAGGATTTGTGATCAGAATTAGAATTTTTATTATTTTTCTCTCAAAAGGGTAACTCGTTTCTTTAGTGTTTGGTTGCTGGGGAAACTAAAATTGGGAACTTTGGATCGAAGAAACGTTGGAATTGTGTGGCTGTGTCCAGAATTGGATCTAGTTTTTGTTGAGCAGAAACAGTCGTCTCTTTAGAATTCTTAGAAATTGTGGGTTTTGCGCAGCTTAATTTTGTGGTGTTGGTTTCTTTTTTTGGTGAATATTTTGTGGCATTGTTTGTGATTGGTGAAAATGGGAAAGAACGTGTCTGGGCAGTGGCACTCATTTGCGTCTGTTTCGTTTTTCTATGACAGAAGCTCTGCGGTCAAGTAAGAGGGAAATGGCTGTTGCAACCAGAGGTAATTACTTGAATTGAATGATAGCTGATTCAGAAGTTCTAGTATTCACTATTTGCTTGTATGAGTCTGTTTGGACACAAGTTTATGTACTTTTTAGAGCTTTTCTACTTGAAAGAGCTCTAAATTTTCAGTAGAAAAGCTTTTCTAAGTTTTTATTCAAACATGCTTTAAAACTCGTTAATGTATCTTTGATGCATAAACGGGGTGTTTTTATTCTGATGTATAGTTTATGCTGAAAGGGAAAAAAATTATCTTGCTTAACATGGTGCTTCATGACATTAAGAATAAAATCAATTTACGCAATTCAGTAGTGAGACCCACAACATGGGCACCGGCAATTTCATTTAGGATAATAAAATTTAATGTTGGTGGATGCAGTGTGTTAATTCAAGTGAATTCCTTTTTGAATATAATGTTTAAAATGTCAGGCATCATAATTCATGGGAGAATATAATGTGACAAATTAGTTTGGAAGGCTGGGAGCGATAGTTAAATCAAATAGTTATAGATGAAAGTACTCAGAATTTTATGGGAGGATGTACATCTAAAATTTCCAGTGCAAACTATTTTTTGTTGATCATTTGAATATTTTTTTAACATTTGCGTAGAAAGTAGTTCCTAATTATTCTTCTTGCTTCCCAACAGCCATAATTGTTTATAATTATATGAGTCAAACAGAAATACTATTGATTTATTGGGAAGGTCATAATCTTATATCCTTGGATTAGATTGTTTTCGGTTGGTGCCCTTGCATATCAATGAATGCTGAGACCCATTGGTTGTGTCATTGGATAAGGTCATGTTAAATTTTGGTAGAAAATATTCAGGCTAATATAGATAAGTCTAGCTAGGGACTTTCAACAATCGTTTCCTTCTCAACTTTATTTTTGTCATGGCTCCTAATTTTTATTATTTTCCTAAATGGTTTCTTGTAATCTATATCTCCTCTAATGTTCTTTTCCTCAAAACCTTTACCACAAATTTTGACCAATCATTTTTGTTTCCTCACATTGTTTTGCTGCCTTTGCTCCAATTTTTGATAATGTCCTACATGTCTAGTTTAATCTTTAAGAGGAGATTGCTGTCTTGATGGGTATGATACTTGCTACTATTAATTGATGATTTCATAATAAATTTTTTAAATTCTATTAAAATTAAATAAAAAATAGAAAGCAGAAGATAATGAAATGCTTGATGGAGAGGTTGGTTCCATATCAAGAAAAAAAAAAAAAAAGATGGACTGATGGACACCAGAAAAATGATTGTTATTAAATATATATTTTTCTTAAAGGGTTTCTTTCAAAAACTTCCATAAACTTAGGCTTAGTATCACTAATGGTCTATGTCATATGTGCCTATACATTAAAAGAGATTAGTAGTAGGACTTAAAGGTATTGTTAGGAACTAGGAAATAACAAGAGCTGAGGGGGTTCCATATCAATAAAAAAAGATGGACACCAGAAAAATACTTGTTATTAAATTGAAATCAACTACATTAAATATATATTTTTTCTTAATGGTTTTCTTTCAAAAACTGCCATCAACATAGGTTGGGTGTCACTAATGGTCTATGTCAGTTGTAGGAATTAATAAAGGTATTGGTAGGAACTAGGAAATAACATGGGTTAACATTTGATATCATTATTTAGTTTTAAATTTCAATAAAGGGGAACTTCAGTAGTTTGCTACCTTTTTCTTCCATTCACTCTTGTAGGAATTGAAAGAGAGATAGCATCGCTTCAGATGGAGGTACATAATGCTAACATAGACCTTCTTAGTGATTTCCTCTGTGGTTCGTATTTCTTTCTAGTGCTTCATTACCTTGTCAATCGCAGGAAAAAAAATTGGTGGCAGAGATTAAAAGAGAAGCCAAAACGGGTAATGAGGTATGTTTTTGTCAGTTGTAAATCTGTGTGTTTTCATCTCACTTGGGTCCAAGGTGAAACGAAGTTCCTAGATAACCACTGTTTAGGGTAGTTTAGGCTTTTAACCTATATACTTTTTTGGATTGTGGAGTGTGCATGTGTGCTCTTTATCCAACTTGGGGCATACTGTATTTTGTTCCAGGGTGTGTTATATTGTCTATATAAGTAAATAGCACCGAGGGTATGCTAGTGACATGTCTAAAAATTTAGTTGGGGGGCAATATTTATATATATATATATATATTATATATATATAATATATAATAATTTGAATATATAATTTCTATTATAATTTAAATTCTTAATAATAAATATATTTAAATATCTAGTTTATATTTTAGATTTATAATGAACAATGTAAATTCATGATAATTTCTTTTGGAAAAAAATATTGAAATTCAATTTGGAGATTAATACAAAAGGTGTTATTTTAAAAGTACTATATAGTTGAGAAGTTTAAATTAAAAGTAATATACAGTTAACAATTTTAAATATACATATAAAACTTGAAAGAAATGCAGTTTGAAATGGTTGGAAGATAAATTCTTTTAGTTAATTTGCGGGTATAATATGTGAAATGTACATTCAAAAAAAAAAAAAAAAATAATTGAGATATCTACATGAGAGAGTCACAAGAGAGATTAGAAATAAATTTATGGGGATTGGGGTAATACTCATATTATGAATTGACTATTTTTACTATATTTTAAATTATATGGATAATTTAATTATAAAATATATTTTATTTTGAAAAGTTAAAAAGTTTGTATGGGTAATTTCCCCACAATCATAAACGTATATCTGTCCCTATTATCCTCTATGTGCAATTTTGTTCACCAAGAACAAGAACTTTAATTCGTGATAGAAAATTCCTTGCAAGATCTTTCTTTTGTTCTAAAATTTTAACTATTACTTGAATATGCTGTACATAAGCAGGAAATACAGAAGTACACGAGTATCTCTATCATAGCTTTTATTTATTTCATGCTTTTGTTTTCATGTTAGTTTGAGCTTCAGAAGTAATATGTTTCAAGATACAGTTATATATGTGTTTTGTGTCTGTGTATGAACTAGTTTGATTGATATGCATGATGATTAACTACATAGAAATACTGAACAAAGGAGTGTCTGGTTACAGGCTGCCACCAGAATCTTAGCTCGTCAACTTGTTAGGTTACGTCAACAGATAACCAATTTGCAGGGAAGTCGAGCTCAGATCAGGGGTGTAGCAACTCACACACAGGTATGCAAATTTTCATTTTTTTTCTTGGTAAAGATGTTGACAGGATTTTCAATTTTCACAATTTCTGAATTTCTTTGCAGGCATTATATGCTAGCACTTCAATCTCTACGGGAATGAAGGGTGCAACTAAAGCAATGGTGGCAATGAATAAGGTATGTAGTCCAGATTCTGCTTCATATCATTCAAAATTGTGGAATGCATTTCTTTTGGTTACTGGTAATAAATATGGCATCAGTTTATGTTATTCAAACTCCTTTCCTTGGCATTGACAAAATCTAAGTATCTGCAAGCCAACTTTCACCCATCTGAACACCTAAAGGTCAAAGAGTGTTGAACTCGAGTATGCATTACAAAGGAAGCAAATTGAGCATAAGTCTTATAACTTAAGCTTTCATTTGATATGTTGACAAAAAGCTACAAACTTCTGATTTCAATTTGTGGTTTTATAGTTCAATAAAAAAATTACAAATTTGGTTCTTTCAGCAATTTTCCGCTGTCACTGAATCAAAAGTTGATATGTCATATATTCTTCTGTGACATTGATAAAATTTTGCCAGATATGACCAAAAATGTTATGCTAATCATTGTTTTACTTTTCTTATCAGCAAATGGCACCAGCAAAACAGGTTAAAGTGATTAAAGAATTCCAAAAGCAATCAGCACAATTGGACATGACGGTAATTTATCCATTTGAGCATATTTCTGATGCATTCTCATGCAGGTTTCATGCATTAAATGGGTAGGCTAAATACAATAAGATTCCTCAGTTAGTTTTTAAGCAATTGCTATCAGATTGATCTAGTTTGGCCTTTATTAGGGAGGTGCTCAGTAAATACATTAACATAAGATCATAAACTGGTCCAGTTTGGCAAAAATCCAGTTGTCTGAACATTATGTCAATATTCTTAGACTTTGTTTTACGGGGACCATCATTGATGTCTATTGATTGGCATTACAATATCAACTTTTTCACTCCATGAAACACGGCTTGCACACTAAAAATTGAGAAAGGAATTATTTGCTTTGAACTTCTGCATAAAGTACTGTTGATTTAAATTTTCTCAGTTCAGTATTTAAAATGATGACATTTTTTGGTCTACCTCACGAATGGTGGTTAATGGAGAGGACTAATTATTTTCATTATCAATATTTAATAACAATGTATTTAACTAAAGGACTGATTGAAGGAACAACAATAAAATAACAGTTGAATTGAGAAAACTTTATGTAAAAAGAGTAGGAACAAAAACAAAGAAGATAAGGATTGTGGATATAATTTAATGTGCGATGGTCATTAAGCTAGTTTTCAGCTGGAAACATACAGAAATCTGTCTATAGTAACGAATACTTGGAGTTTTTGCACTGGAAAAGGCTGTACTAAAAACAGTGTGAAAAAATAAGAGAAAAGAGACCATAGAAGGCAGAATTGAGATGTGAATAATAAATTCTTTTCAAGAATGGGCAGTAGACACAAGTTGCATTAAAAAAATTGTGTAAGAATTTAAAGAATTAAGGAATCAGAACTTGGCTGCCTCAAACAGAAGAATATAAACAACCAAAAATGAAGTACAATGAAAAATATTGGTTTCATGTTTCAGAAGATTCTGTGTTGCTATGAATTGTTAAGAGGATTTCTAAGGAAGTTGCCCTTTGAAAACACTATACTGTTTATTTTTTAAATTAAGTTTCACTACCCTGTTACAGTTGCCAATTAGCAGGAAATGAATTAAATGGACTGCACTTTTTTATCAAAATAAAAAATAAAAAATAAAATAGGGATGAGTATAATTTGCAAATCATGGCATCGGCAAAGCAGCTGTGGTGCCTGCCTGATAGTAATATGACAACATTTTCTTTGGCTCCATAAATTTATAACATTATCGTATTTGCAGATTGAGATGATGTCAGAATCTATTGATGAAACTTTAGACAAAGATGAAGCTGAGGAAGAAACAGAAGAGCTCACTAACCAGGTGAATATAAATTAATTACCAATTATATATCTTCTAAAATAAGTATAGTTATTCCTTTGTAACATTTTCATTTTATTCGTGACAGGTTCTTGATGAGATTGGGGTGGATATTGCATCCCAGGTTGGTTTTGGACTAAATTAATTTGTTATCTTTGTCAATTCCTTTCGTTTAATTAATTTTCTGAATGTTGAGCCTGATCTTGTTTTTTATGATGCTAGTTATCTTCTGCTCCAAAAGGTCGAATTGCTTCAAGGAATACTGAAAATGTTGCTGCTCCAAGGTACATTTCAATCCTTATTTATGGAAAATGCTCACTAAACATATTTACTCCTTTTTTTTTTTTTTGTGTGTGTGAATACATTTACTCCTATGTACATATAAGAATGTTAACAGTTTCTACTAGTAGTTGCGTGGGGTATCTACATTTAGATTTTGTTTTTTGGTTTCACGATGAATCCTGTCATTCCTGTGGCATTTTAAGAGAAATTTCTTTCCCTGCATGCAGACCACAAGAATCCCAAGATGTTGAAGATCTTGAAAAGAGATTGGCTTCTCTCCGAAGAATATAATTATCTGCTACAGCTGGAAATCGTTATATATACAAATCGTTACATATAGTATAGCAATGGAAAGATTGTGTTGGCTCCTCGTTTAATTACTAAATTTATGTGGATGTGTTTAAGACTGGAATATATCACTACCCCAAACATTTATTATTTGGGAGTTTGTAAATGTGTATGTGGTTAGTTAATAAGCTACGTAGGTAGATGAGCACTTTATTTCTATGTTTTTTTCTCGCTCTCTCTCTCGCTTATTTCCTCTTTTATAAGAAAAAAAATCACTTAATACATTTTTTCAATATTTTCCTTGACCTGCAATCTGAAGTTAAAATTAGTTTCTTATAAGCTATTTTGTAGATACTTTATCTTTAGCTTCTCCAATATTTTTTATTCTTAACTCATGTATAAATAAAATTTAGCTTAGAGAAACTTATTTTGATTTTCCTATTTTTTTCTCTCTATCTTAAAAGTGTTTCTAGAAAAACTTATCCAAACAGACCTTTAAGTTAACTGTAGGATTTGTATTTTATTTAGGAATCTCTTGTGGATTAATTCTTAGGGTTAAGACCTCACCATGAAATTCAATGACAATGATGTTGAGTGATAAATGTATTTTGAAATTTGATTTAGACTCGTATTATAATTCATTAGTCATTTGCGATTCCTAAACCCTAAACGTGTTGATTCAATGGTTCATTAGAAAAATTAGTCGAGTCATTGAAATCTATACCAGGTTGTTAGCATAATCAATCGAATGAAAGGTTATAACTAAGATAAACCTTTCTATCCACAAATCATTTGGTATGAAAATCACTTAGAAAATGTATTCTTTTGGCAAAACTTTAATAGATCAAGTTTCCATCTTTTAATGTTGTAAAAGGATTCACATGTCTTAAACAAAAAACTATAGCACAATGGAAAGGAAATGGTATAAATCCTAAACCCTAAAACCCTGACACAAATCGACATTTTACAAAATCTTGATATGAAAAAGACATCATAATAAAAGTTGTTCTAAAACCAATTCATAAAACAATGAACTCTATCTAAAGATCAAAATGAAGCATCAAGCTTCTTCCCCCTCATGCTTAGCCTCGTATGCTTGATTAGTTCCTACATGGTGATCATCCAAAATAAAAGCATTAAGCAATATAGAAGAGGGAGAATATATCTCATCAATGTATAGCACATCCAAGGTATAAAGTAACATACTAACACAATTATATCCATGCATTCGTCCAGTTTTCAAGATCATCTCATAACATTCCACGCATCAAAATTGAATCATACTAATCACTAAATTAAAGACTCTTGCAATGTATTCTCCAAACTTTACATGCATATGGTACCAATCTCTAATATTTTCAAACGGTGACCTAATACAAGGCAACCTAGGAACATTGACCAAATCATTATACATTGGGTGACCATCTAAATCCACTCTTAATTAGGAAAAATCTACTAAGATACAATTATAGCATTACAGTTAGTTGTGGTTGCCTCATGCTCGGTTAGGACTCCCTATCATAATTCCCCCAATGTCTAAGTAGAAAACAATAGAGACCCTTCTATATAAATTCACACCACCTTACCAAAAAAAGTATGCATGCAATGTATAAACCCCACACAACCAACTCAATACAACAATAAGAATGCAATGATACAACCACAACTTGTTATACCCCTCTGTTTGGACTTTTCCACAAAGTACCAAGCCCTGCCTAGATTTATCATTGTACAAGCCTCTACTTGGACTTACTCATCTCATCATCATTACCATCAATTATTATCATTCATCATTATCATAATTTATACACTCTTTATCTTTTTTCGTTATACTCACCTCCTTTATATCTTTACTCAAATATAGCTATATAGTTCCTCCCTTTCTTCCTATTATGTTTCCTTTATCCACACTCTCATTTCCTTTTTTTTGTTTGTTTTTACTTAATTTTACTCTCTTTATATCTTCTTTTTTTAATTCTAATAGTGTTACTCCTCACAAACTCTTCTACTATTTATTATCCTTAAAACTAAGTACAATTTTAATAGTGACGTGACACTTGGTGATGATATTCTCATGCCTAGTGTGAAGAGGTCAAGAATTGCTCTATGACATAATGACATTCATGTCCGACATGGTTATACCTATGCATAGTGTAGAGAGCTCAGGGACCTCTTTGTCTCAATCATACACTATGTGATTACCTTCACACCCAACTGAGAAGTCAGAATTACACCCAACGTGATCCTAGTCACACCTGTTGTCATCTCTCTTCAAAAATGATGTCAACTAGTGCCAAGCGAGACACCCTCGCCTAACGCAATGAAGTTGGAGACTTCTTTATTGTTGTTGCACCTGACATAACCCTGTCCACACCCAATGCAGAGAACTGCACTCATCATGCCTGATGCCTTAAACGCGTGCCCAACATTACACTTCGCAGAATCGCAAACCTCTCAATCAAGGGTCTCCAAAACCCTTCCAAATCCATCAAAATGTTCCTTTACTCAAATAAATTAGTAAATAGTTTTTTTTTAATTCATAGAAAAACATACAATCATCAAAACACTCAAATTCATCCATCCTAATCAAAACCCCCAATTCATACAACCCCAACCCTCAAACAAGTCAATTTCACACATTGTTAATTTAGCCACAAAATTCACATTACAAGCATCATACATTAGCATTAATCGTCAAATCATTCTCATAGTCATCAAACGATATCCAACCAACAACCTAAGAGGCTTAGAGATGATCTTACTATCAATAATTCCTTATATATGCCCATGAAAGAGACATTCACACTCCACTTACCTCAAGTGATGACTTTTGAGGCACCAAAATGTTCTTTCATTGCTTTCGTCATTACTCCACATGTTCTATGATGTTTCCTTCTAGGATTTTCTCTGCATGCATTCTTAGGATTCATAACAGACATGTGCAAATAGACCCAACCTGTTTCTTTCTCCTTATTTTTAATAAGTCCCCAATTGGGTTCAAGAGTCCAACCCTAGATTCCTTCTTTAACTCACTACTTATTTCTTTTATTTTATTTATTAAGACATTTTATTTATGTTTGAAATCCAATTAAATAACTTAGTCAAGTCCATAATATAAATTTTAGTTAAAAACTTATTTATTTTATTTTTGAAAATCAAGATGTTTTGAGTTAAACAACTTCTTTTAATAAAATCTACTTGAACAAATCTCTTTCAATGAGTTGAATGAGATAACAAACATAGTTTCAAAAGAGTACTGCGAGACTAGAAAAAATTAATTCGGTTAAGTGATCTTCTCAATACATAAAATTAGGTTTTTTTTAACTGAGAATTTCTTCTAGAACATCATTGAAGACATCGTAACTATTGTTACAGCAAAAATATTTTGTTTAAGATTATATATTAAGTCTATATAAGATAAACAATATTATAAAATAGATCAAATGAATTAGTTATTTATCAATTGAGATTTTGAAATCATAAAATTGTACGATTATAAAACTCTGATAAATAACTTCGTAACTCAAAAGGATGAAAAATTAAGATGACGATTTATATTATAATTGTTGTTGTACTTTCATGCATTCAACAAGCTAAAGGCAGACTTCGAAGATGTTCAAGTCAAGCACACGCCTCGGGAACTCAACGTAAGAGCTGATCAATTGGCTAGGCTAGCCAGCAGCAAAAAGGTCAGCCACTTACGAAGTATGATCCAACAGGATTTGCCGAAGCCCAGCATCACAAAACCAGAGTGTTTACAGGTTCGGCATGACAGCCCCGACTGGATGACAGGAATAAGGGGGTACCTGACAGCGGGAACATTACCTGATGACCCGTTGGAGGCAAAAAAGATGAGGGTTACGGCGGCGCGATATACCCTGATCGCGGGGGAATTATATAAAAGAGGATTCTCGACCCCCCTGTTGAAATGTTTAACACCGGACCAGGTACACTATGTGCTGCAAGAAATTCAAGAAGGCGTATGTGGAACTCATTCGGGAGGCCGAACCCTCGCAGCCAAGGTTTTCCGAGCAGGGTACTATTGGCCAACCCTGGTTGCGGACTGTTCAAATTTCATTCAACGATGCAAGCCCTGTCAACAGCACGGACCCTTAACTCACCAACCCCCCGAGGGGTTACACTCCATCGCCACGCCTTGGCCGTTTTCCATATGGGGTATGGACATTCTGGGACCATTCCCACCTGCAAAAGGCCAAGTCAAGTTCCTCGTTGTAGCCGTCGACCACTTCACAAAATGGATCGAAGCAGAAGCATTGGCCACCATCACGGCTAACAACATACAAAAATTCTTTTGGAAAAACGTTGTTACCCGGTTTGGGATCCCGTACGCCTTGATCACGGACAATGGACTGCAATTCACTGATTGACGTTTCAATGAATTTTTGAACGGATTAGGAATCAAGCACAGAATGACCTCAGTGGAGCACCCCCAGTCCAATGGTCAGGCCGAGGCAGCGAATAAGGTTATCCTTAAAAAGTTGAAACGACGTCTCGGACAGGCTAAAGGAACATGGCCGGACCAGCTACCCGAAATCTTGTGGGCATATCGGTGCACGCCTCAGAGTTCAACCAAGGAGACCCCCTTCCGGCTAACCTACGGCACGGATGCAATGATCCCAGTTGAGGTGGGAGAACCTTCTCTCAAACGAACCCAATTTGACGAGGACAGCAATCGGGAAACACTCAATGTTCAGATGGACTTGGTGGACGAAGCTCGAGAGCAAGCACTGGTGAACATGGAGGCCTGTCGAACCAGGTTAGAAAAGAAAATTCGAACCAAGGTGAAACCGAGGGAGTTTCAAGCCGGGGATCTCGTGTGGCGAGTTACCGGAGAAGCACGAAAGGACAAAGCTCAGGGCAAACTTGCACCCAACTGGGACGGCCCTTTTCGCATAATGCATAACTTGAAGAACGGAGCCTACAAGTTAGAAGAGCTTTCGGGAAAGGCTATTCCCCGAACATGGAACGCAACGCATTTGAAACATTATTTCAGTTAACAATTGTAATTGTTTCGGTGTACTCTTTTCCTTCCTCAGGTTTTGCCCTCTTATAAAAATGAGAAAGAGGTTTTTCTGAGAAAGGTTTTTAACGAGGCACCATATCAATGAAACAAGCCCCTTTCGAATCATTCATCTGTCCAATTTAATTATAAATCAAAACTTGATTCCCTCCCGAGCAACCTCGCTCGGTCAAGGACGAAAACTTGATTCCCTCCCGAGCAACCTCGCTCGGTCAAGGACGAAAACTTGATTCCCTCCCGAGCAACCTCGCTCGGTCAAGGACGAAAACTTGATTCCCTCCCGAGCAACCTCGCTCGGTCAAGGACGAAAACTTGATTCCCTCCCGAGCAACCTCGCTCGGTCAAGGACGAAAACTTGATTCCCTCCCGAGCAACCTCGCTCGGTCAAGGACGAAAACTTGATTCCCTCCCGAGCAACCTCGCTCGGTCAAGGACGAAAACTTGATTCCCTCCCGAGCAACCTCGCTCGGTCAAGGACGAAAACTTGATTCCCTCCCGAGCAACCTCGCTCGGTCAAGGACGAAAACTTGATTCCCTCCCGAGCAACCTCGCTCGGTCAAGGACGAAAACTTGATTCCCTCCCGAGCAACCTCGCTCGGTCAAGGACGAAAACTTGATTCCCTCCCGAGCAACCTCGCTCGGCCAGGGACGAATAACTTGATTCCCTCCCGAGCAACCCCGCTCGTCCGAGGATGAAAGCTTAATTCCCTCCCGAGCAACCTCGCTCGGCCAAGGACGAAAAAGACAACTCTATCCCGAAGCACTCCCGCTCGGCGAAGCACGAAAACTTGACAGGTGTTAAACCTCTTATCCGAACAAATATTATTCGGCCAAAGATAATAACTCGTTTCGGTCATGTCAAAGAACAAAGTCAAGTACATAGCCGCATAACAAGAAAGACAATCCGAATAAGAAAACATGAAATTCATTACGGGCTTTGAAGCCACAGATGGCACTAACAGCCGAAGAGTACAAGGGTTCCACGGCTCAAATGGCCTACAATAATCAAAAGCAAAAAGTATCCCTATATCTATACATCATCAACAAAACAGATGTATGAATCAAAAAGCAAAGAACAAAAGCTGCCTAATCGGCATTGGTGGTCTGCTCGGTCTCGTCATCATCATTCAAAGTGGTCCCAGGGTCTTCGGCGGGGGCCGATCGAGGTGGGGCTGCATTATCCGGCTCAAGGTCATCCGGCGCCTCGGAAAAATCCATAAACTCTCCCTGAAAGAAGTCTTTGTTCAATTCAAAAGAAAAGTCAGAGGGAAAAGCGCCGAAGTGGGTTGCTTGCCGAACGGCGTGCCAAAACCCTTCCTCATGCTCCTTCACAATCTTGTCCTCACACTCGGCCCGGAAAGCAGCCATAGCAGCGTCGGCCTCGGCCTTCGTTTGCTGTTCCCGAGCAGCGGCCTCTTCCACTTCTCGGAATCTTGCCTCCTCAGCCGCCAAGGCCCGAGCCTCCATCTCCGCGAAAGCTACCTCTAGTCGGGCAATCTCAGCATCGGACGCTGCCTTGTCATTGGAAAGCGCCTCTTGTGCCGACAGGGATTGTTGAAGGGCCGTCTTAGTGTCCTCCAAATTCTTCTGGAGGTTATGAAGATCGCCCATCGGCTCCAAAGCCATCTTCCTAAAAATGGCAGTTGCCCGAACATGTAATTCACAGGCCATAGCCCACCGTGCCGAGGGAGAGGCCGAGTCGAGCATCGTGTGACCATGAGCCGACAGCAAATCTGAAGACATCATCCTCGCCGGCCGGATCTCTTCAGACAGAAAATCTTTGGCCACAATGACCGACGGGACCGCCAAATCCGACGAAGACCCTTCAACCCTGCGCTGCTTCGGCTGCGACACCTCCGGACCAGCTGCGTCAGTTCTTCTCTTCCCTTTGTCTTTTCTCTTCCTGCTCTTTGGATCGGGAAGAGCAATAACAGGGGGCGCCGGTCGGGGAGCCTCCATCACTTGAGGCTGGGGATCAATCGCGACACTGCGATGATCTTCGGCAGAGGACCCAGCCGGAGCCCTGTTCCTCATCAACTGCCGATAAGACAAGCCCAATCCTTGTTGCGCCATCCAACCTGCAAAAATACACCAAGTCACAAATCAACCTAACAAGCACGAGCAAAAAGAGATAAAACAACACATACCCTCTAGCTCGAAACGAGGCCGAGGCGATTTGGGAAGCAGCACCAGAAACCGAGACGGGATGCACCTCGGCAATCCCTTAAGAACGTTTAAGGCCGACAGCTCGGCATCGGTCATCATATCCTCGGGGAAGTCATCGTACTTCCGAGGTTGACGAGTCCAATAGAAGTGAAAAAGAGGCTCCCCATCGGCATCGTAAAAATAATTTTTGCCGACTACAGGGTCTATGATCACCTTCACAAACCCTGATTTGAAGCCCTTAAAGGACGATGTAAAGGGCGTCAATAGCGGTCGGTCGGGGTTCCGAATCAGCGACAACCACTTCATCGTCTTATTAGACGGACGTGTACAGAAAAAATGCAAAAACAAACCTACAGTCGGCTCTACATAATGGTATTTACATAACACCCGAAACGCTTGCATATAAGCCCACGCGTTCGGGTGCAACTGGGTCGGAGCTACGTTTAATACACGAAGGACCCCCATCTGAAAATCATCAAAAGGAAGTGACATCCCTAACTCCCGAAAGAAACACTCGTACATGTAAAAGAAATCCCCCTGATCTTCCCGCTTCGCAAGGAAAACCAGATCGAGTTCCCCAGGGCCTTCGGCTCGGCATCGTCGTAGCATGATCGGATAAGGGTCCCAACCTTCCCATCGGCCCATCGTGCAAAGGCTAAGAAGGCGTATCACGGCGGCCCTCTCATGAAAACGAGAGAAATAGGCCGCCACTTCACCATCAACCCAATCGTACCCGGGGATCTCACAGGGGGGAAATTTTTGCCTATAATCCCCGGGACTCATTTCGGCATCGGGCAATTCCGACCCAGAGGAACTCCCCGACTCCCCACTACGCTCTGGGCCCGACTCACCGACACCCCCATCCGTCTCTACTTCGGCGTTAAACGCCAAGATCTCGGCATCCGGATTTTGGGCCGATCCCCCCTCACTGGCCGAGGACCCTGACGACAATGTGACACCTTCGGTGGCCATTATCACTAAGATCAAAAATAAAACCAAACTTTTAGGAGTATTCGGCTCAGAGAAGAAAAGCTACAGAGGCGATGAAGAGAAAGCACGAAGAAAAGAGCCCCACCTCAACACCTTATATAACTCACTCGCGGCAACCCAAGAGGCTCACAATAAATGCATTTGCACGCCAAACGGCACAACCCCAAGGCGCGAAACCCTAGGGCGGCGGTAGCATGCAACAGTCACTATCTACTCGACGCGACTCCCGAAAATGCACATCCCCCTATATTTTAAACCCTAAATGTCCCCGAGCCTTTTTCACAACCGTACAGGTAGTGTCTCCAAATCTTAGTGTAAATATCATAACTACTAACTCAAGGTCATGGGTAAGGTAATTCCTCTCATGAATTTTTTATTGCCTAAAAACATAAACTACTACCTTTCCTTCTTGCATAAACAATCCACCCAAACCCATCTTAGAAGCACAACTATATACCACAAAAGACTTACTAAATCTAGTAGTATTAACACTAATCAATCTTTCCTTAAGAGTTTGGAAACTACTCTCACACTTACTATCCCACACAAAGACAACACTCTCCCTAGTCGACCTAGTCAAAAGTAATGCTATCTTAGAAATTTACTAAATAAATCTTTAATAATTATGAGCTAACCCAAGGAAATCCTAACCTCACTAATTGATCCCTAAGGTCATCTATCCACATATCAACATACATGCATATCAAATCATATTAGGATACCTACTTTAAACCTTCATATATACCATCCCTAAGCATGTACGAATCAATCACC